TAAGTGCTCATATATTGAAAATAATTGAATTGTATATATATGCATTGAATCTCCCCTGGCACAAAAAAAAATTGTGCCAGGAGAGATTCAGGTTGTACATTAGGAAATACCTCTCCTCTGAGAGAGTGGTCAGGAACTGGAATGGGCTGCCCAGGGAGGTGGTGGAGTCACCATCTCTGGAGGTGTTCAAGAAAAATTTAGATGCTCTACTGAGGGACATGGTTTAGTGGGAAGTACTGGTGATATGTGGACAGTTGGACTGGATGATCTTAGAGGTCTTTTCCAACCTTGGTGATTCTATGATTCTGTGGTTCTATAAAATGCTACAAAAGATGGCATGGAGCACATTTATATGTCACCATTACTTAAAAGCATGCAATACGACCTTTTCTTTGGTTCTGTCTGTGCTCAACAGTTGGACAGTTTACTACTTCTAGTTTTCATGTCTGACTTCAGTAATAGCTGTGACTGTGTGTTTAAGGCCATGCACAGCTTTGAATGACCACTCTGTCAGTATTCTGACTCATGTTTTCTGACTGCTTTTCAGACATCTTTACCATATAAGAGAAAACAGGACATTGCAAGACAAGCATGATGACTACAAGACAAATGTGGAAATTATATGTAAAGATTGTGGACAAGTGAGGAACAAATTCTTTTCATACTTTTATGTTGTTTGTGTCTGTCTTTGCATGTCTAATGATAATGTGTCTGAAACATGGTTTCCTTATACTTACAGGTTTGGGGAAATATGATGGTTTATCGAGGTCTTGACCTGCCTTGTCTAAAGATTAGAAATTTTGTGGTTGCTTTTGAAGACAAGAAAACAACAAAGGAGATTTTCAAGAAATGGGGAGAACTGCCCATCGGGTTTCCTAGTTTTGATTATGCAGCTCACTGTCCTTCAAGTGATGAAGATTAAGACTCAGAATGAAAATAAAAGACATAAAAATCTTCTCTGGCTGCTGGTTAGAAGCTCCTGCAGCCTGTAGAGTTCTGCACCATAGACACTGCATCATAAACACTGTGAAGGCTCCTGAATTCCTTAAAAAACTGCCTTGAAGAGGAGAAAAGGCCCAAGGAAGGAGAAGTCACATGGTAGCTGTCTGCGCTTCAGTTTGTCCTGATACTCCATTCATGGAACAAATTCCCTTCCCAGTACTGTCCAGTGTGGGTTGGCAACACTCAAATGTTAGGTAACCTGTCTTCAAGCACAGAACATGAGACAGACTTCCTGAGACTTACCATGGTGATTGTTTTCAGTTCTACTTCCTTCTACAACCTTCGTGAAGATAAAACATCTTAAAAAAGAATCCATGTAAAGAGAACAAATTACTTGACTGTTATTTCTGAGTCACTGTTGCTTCTTCAGTGTTTTCATGATTTAGTCTTTCACCTTGTCTTTAGCTGTAAGCTTACAGATTTTTATGGAGTAAAATTTCATTAGAAGACATTTAAAAAAATCAAGCCCTTAAATTTACTTGAAATTGATTATTTTAATGTCCATGAAGCACAATGCCAAGTTACTTTCTTTGTGCTAGTTTCATACGATTGTTAAACTGCCTATGCAATGAAGTATGTATTTTTTTCCAATAAATGACTGTAATGAATAACATTTGCCAACTTTGGTGCTGTTTAGTCTGTTTCATTGTAATTATTTTGACAGTAAAAAGACTACAGTTTCACCCTAGAAATGTAAGGAATAGTGGTATTCTAACTGTAAAAATAGCAAAATGCATCTCCATAATTATCTTATTGACAGATTTTTCTTCTCTCTTTCACATAAGATATTGGAGTGAGAGATCTGTTTGTTGTTACAACAGTCAGCTTTGTAAACTCAGTGGCATGTTTACTGGAATGGATATGTAAACACTTCAGTAGCCCAAGGTAAAATTTCTAAGTTTCAATTAAGCTAAAGAGTATAACTCAGCAAAAAGAATCTTCTTATGCCTAGATTTGTATTGTTCTACATTCTTAATAGAAATATAAATACTTTGTAAATTATTTAAAATCAGATTTTATTTCAAGTCTGCATCAGGAGCAGATTTTTTTTTTTTTTTTTTCCACGTCTGACCTTATTTTGGGGGGGAGGAGGATGTCTCATTTTTAACAGAAATGTGGCATGTTTCAAGTATCATCAAACTGACACAGGCTAATTTGTGGATAAGTACTTACTTATAAACATATTATAGTATTATAAAATAAATATGCATCCTGATAAGTTTTTACTGTAGAGGTTTTGTAGATTCACTGTGCTTAACTTACAGAAATTGTGTCTTATAGGTTGAAAGGAAAAAATATCAGATGTATTGGGAGTTAAGAGACTATACACATAAAGATCTTTCAAGACGCTGCACTTCTATAATTGTAATGATACAACTGAAGCAGGAAAGTCCAATGGGAAACAGAGTATAAGGAGTTGGTAGTATATGTATATTTTTATTGTGCATGTCTTTACACAATATTATTCCTTCCTTAAAATATTTTGCAGTGCGAATATAAAATCTCCAATTTCTTTGTTTGGTGTTACATACTTCGTTAGATTTTATTAAAAAAAGAAAAAAAAGAAAAACAAAAAGAAACCAAACCAACATTTCCTTCATATATTGTCCTGTAAACAAGTTACTGTCTTTCTTATACTGGTTTTTTGATTACTACTGAAATTTTTGGTGACTTTTGAATCTACTTAACTCTATAGGTTCAATTTTAGACATGGATCTGAGAATCTGACTATTTAAAGATACTGGAGATTGATAGATCATGCAGCATTGTGACTTAAGATGTATTTTGTTAATGTGATCATTATCTGATCTGACAAATAAGATGCTATGAAATATACTAAGAATTAAATATCAGAATAGTTTATCTTGGCAAATAATTATAATCGAGATAATCTTTGCATTTCTTTTTATATGAGTTGTCACAGTTCTTTGAAGAAAACTTTTAAATCAGAAAAGGCTTGTGAGATGTGTAGAGTGTAAATGTAACATATACCTATAATTTCCAAGTACCTGAAGTAGTTTATTCAGTATTTTGAGGAAATGTAAAAATCTGGTAAAACTATCACTGGATCTGTTGCTTCTGTCCTGAGTAGATCTTCTGAACTCTACTTCAATGAAGCAAGAAGAGCATATGCAACTTGGTTTCTTCATTCTTTTGTAGTTGAATTTAACATATCTGGTCTTCTTGTAGTCCACTTGTGTGCTGCTGTCACACTTCCAATTCCTAGTATGATTCAACCAGGTTATCACCAAAGCTGAAAAATACAATCTCATTTCAGCATAATGGATAACAAACCTCAGGTGAATCCTGCTGGCTTGTAGAATAAGGATTTCCACTTCAAGTTATTGTCTCTGAATGGGATTATAAAACGTGCCTGTATTGCTCATCCAGGAAGTGTGAAGTTGTAAAAACCGAGCTAAATTGCCATGTTTTATCTGCTAGTTGCTTCTGCATTTATTGCCTTTATGGACTCAAAGTCCTCCAGGGAGTGTGACAAATCCTGATTGCATTTTGTACTTACAGCTTTTATTCATAAATGTGGAAAGAAGAGAAACTTAGTTACCAGGGATTTGTCTAGCTGTGTGTTTGGCTTCAGCTTTAGTTGTTTTTTACGTTATTCTATCTACTTTTGGTCTGCTGTCATGCACAACCTACATCTGTAAATGTCCATTTCCTCATCAGGAAAATATAAATATTTTAGAGTAGTATTGAAAGAATTAATGTTTAATTCTTTGTATATACTGGTATGAACACTCCAGAGAAGGGTCTCAGGAGCAGTAGCTGTACAAAACTTGCAAGGTTCATTCTTTGTGGGTAAGTTTTGGTTTGTTTCTAATGCTTGTGTTTGTAAATCTTGATGAAGCATGTGCACTTAGACTTCCAAATTAAAAAAAAAAAAAAACAAACACAATATGCAGCATATAGTCACTTAGCAAAGTCATTTGGATCTTGTGAGTTTGAGTCATTTCCTTTGAGGCATTCTCTAAATTATTGTTCCTTAGAGGAAGCTTCATGTTTGGAAATAAAAACTATTAACTGAGCAAAACCTATGTCTGCAATTTTGCAATGTTCTGGTTGTTACAATCCTTTTTTTTTTTTTTTTAATTTTGAGCAGCTGGTATTATCTTGCTAGGAAACTATCCTTGCTGAGCTCAGTTCTGGCCTTCGTATACAATGTATCAAGAACAATGTATTTTGGTCTTCTTAGCCTTTTTATTTGTATGGCTGATGTTAACAAGGTGTTAACTGGCTATTAATTTATTCCTGGATTTCAATGACAAGAGTGGGTCTTATTCAGACGCATTTTCTTGCATAATTTCACCATTGCGACAAGAGGTGAGAAAGCACAAGTTTATGTGAAAATAGGGCATATTCCAAACAGCTAGACTGAATTTCTTTCAGACTGCCCACCAAGACTAATGCAATGAATGTTGCTGAAACACTGCCAGATGGGCCCAGGTGAGCCCCTGCCTCACCAGGGGCAACGTGAGGGTCATGGTTCAAATTTCAGTCCACTCTGTTAGGCTGAGGTGTTGACTACTTTTGGTTGATAGTACAGTGGGCTTTTTTTTCTCTGCAAACCATTATTTTATGCTTTGCTAGACACCCCGGTGTAACAGGAAACCTATTATTTCATCTCCTTTATTTTCAGTTTTCAGAGAAGCCAGAGGGAATGATTTTAGTTTGTAGTCTTTTGGTGGACGTGGCATTAATCGCTGCTGCTGTGGCCACAAGATGCAGGCTGAGCTGAGCCTGGCTGGCTGCTAGAGCTGTGAGACACGTCTAAGAGCTCCAGTCACATGAGAGTGCTGGGAAGGAGCGCCGAGCAGAGCAGAAAGAGGGAGCGCCGTGCCGCGTGGCTGCAGGCTGCCTCGAGCGGCCGTTCCTCTGCTCGGCCCAATGCGCAGCTGCTGGCTCGAGCGGCCACCAGGGGGCAGCGTGCCTTGTCTGCGGCCGTTACTCCCCCGCAGCCGCCTCCTGACCGCAGCTATTTCCGCCCCCCCCCCCCCCCCCAGCCGCTGTGAGGCGGTGCCACGAGGTTTTTTTCCTCGCAGCAGCGCTGATGGGCGAGATTGAGACTAGCTGGGCAAAACCAGTCTTAGAGCAAAGCGTACTTCTCTTTTCAAGCATTTCTTCACTCTTCCGAGGCTTCTCTTGTGTAACTTGACGCTGCGGTCCCAACAGTTTTCTGTTTGCAGGGACCTCATTTCAGTGAGCCGAATGAAACAAGTACAGTTGGTGTCTTGAGCACTGTTCTGAAATGCCGTGGGCCAGCAGAGTTATGTCTGAGCTCAGTTATGTGGAAGTTTACTGTTTTCTGAGGAAAAGTAATTATCTTCGTATGTGGACGATGTTAAGCAAATTGCGTATCTGTTTCTTGGTTTGAATGTTTATGCTATCATTTATTATTTTAGAAAGTAAACAAGAAAGAGTTATAGATAAACAATAACGACGTGCCTGAATTTTCATTTAATTTCTCAGTAGGAAGTAGAAATAAGGTCATGAATATGTCCTGAGAATGTGAGGGCTGCCAAAATACACTGTAGATGCTTTTCAGAGAAAAACAGTAGATATCAAATAACTGTTGAGTCATAAAATCCAGATGTTGGTTACAGCTCACATTGGTGAGAAGTATATAATCACCACCACTATAGCTGCCCAATGCCCATTTCTGCTTTGAGAACTTCCCCGAAAGCCTGTTTCTAATCTTATGGAAACCCTTTGAATTTTGGCACAGTCTACAAAAGTATGTAGGAAAAAAAAGCCTGCCAGAGGTTTGGCCTCTAACTGTGAAAACAGACACTGCCTTTTCCAACTCCTCTCCTAGATCCGCTGACCAGCTCCCAGAAAAAAGAGTTTGTGTTCTTTAGGAAGACTGCAGAAAAATGAAGGTTTGTATGCTGCTGAATTCAGCTTTCAATAATATTTGCATCTGTTGTTTTAAACTGTTGGTTATTGTACAAGGCTGGGCTCTGTTGTGAAAGTATTTGCCTTAAAGAAAAAGGAAAGGGATGCATTCAAATGTACTGTGGAGATTTTTTTTTTTTTGCTTTTTGCTTTTTTTTTTTTTTTTTTTTTTCAGCAGTTAAGAGGAATGAGAGGATTTAATTAGATAACAGCCATAACAGTTTACCTCAGAAAATATTAGAAATGTAATTATTTTTTGTTTCTGTCCTGCAGACCCGGCTAAAAGTACTATTTGGCGTGGTTGTATGTGTTTTGCTTTCCTTATTACTTATGTGTATTGTACTGCTTCCATCCAAAGGTAAGGCATTTTTATCTAATGTAGCAGAAAACACAATGTTTTTAGCTTCTCTGGCTTCTAAAGTTCATAAAAGTTTGTCAAATCATCTCTAGGATTGTCATGCCTGTGCTGTTACGGCTTTATCACTTTACAGAAATGTACTGACAGCTGAAATGTCCTGGAGGTATGATCGAAATGCCAGCAGATGTTGAAACAATGAACCCTTTGAAGTGAAAAGCACCTCAGTTAACTTTATTCATGATGTATAACATTCTTAGAGAAGACTGCAGAAGTAGTTCTCAGATCTCATATTATATATATGTTAGGAGCTATGAGAATCTCACAGTCTGTTAATAGTTTCTTTCAGCTTGGTAAACCTGTATTTTAATAATTATTAAAGATCTCTAGACAATTGCAAGTTAAATATTTCTCTGATGAACGGATGTGGTGAATTGTTTGTGAACATGTTTAAGATTGCATTTGGAAATTAAAGCCAGCATTGGATAAAATAGGAGTGCATGGTTTGTTCTAGTATTATGCTAGCTGTGAGTAACTGCTGATGCACAGAATGATCTGCTGAGTCCACTGGTAAAGCTTGAAGTGTGTGTGGTTTGATATTTAGAGTCTGAGTGGCACTGACTTTAGTAGATGTTTTTTTGTATGAGAAATCCAGTAAGAGAGATATAAGTATTTATATATCCCTTTCACAACAGTGGATGAATTGAATACCTCTGAAATATTTAAAACAGTAATAATTATATATACATATATATATTCCAGTAGCAGCAATAATTTCTTTTTTCTATAATTATTCTTTGCCCATATGTTGGCAAATCAGGTTTAGCTTTACCTATACTTTTGTCTTATAGCTAATATCCAACTTTAGTGGAAGGTCAAATCTCCCTTTCTTACCTGATATTTCAATTTAATATATTTAGTATGAGTACCTCTGCTGGGGAGGAGTTGGAGATTTATAAGGTAGGGCTAATTCTGTTCTGCATGGTATGAATATGAGTATACATTGTATCGTGGCTGGAGGTAGCGCTGCGAAGAGATACTGATCTTATAGAATAGAATCATATGTTAAGGTTGGAAAAGACCTCTAAGATCATCTTGTCCAACCATCTACCTACCAGTATTGCCCTCTAAACCACATCCCAGAGTACTACATCTACACGTTTCTTCACCCTCCAGGGTGATGACTCCACCACCTCACTGGGCAAGACTGTTCCAGTATCTGACCACTCTTTTGGAGAACTTTCTCCTAATATCCAGCCTAAACCTCCCCTGGTGCAACTTGAGGCCATTCCCTCTTGTCATTCTCACAGGAGAAGCAGTCTGTACCCGCCTCACAACAACCTCTTTTCAGGCAGTTGTAGATACAGATCAGGTCTCCCCTCTAGACTAAATAATGCCAGTTCCATTAGCCACCCCTCATAAGACTTGTGCTCCAGACTCATCACAGCTTCACTGTCCTTTTCTATCTGGACACACCCCAGGGCCTCAGTGCGCTTACTGTAATGGGAAAATGGAATACAATACTCGAGGTGTGGCATCACTAAGGCTGAGTACAGGGGGAATATCACCTCCCCCCTTCTCTGGCTACATTATTTCTTATATAAGCCAGGATGCCATTGGCCTTCTTGGCCAGCTGGGCACACTGCTGGCTTATCTTCAGCTGAGCACTGACAAACACCTCCAGATCCTTTTCCTTTGCACAGCCTTCCAGCCACTCTGTCCCAAGCCTATAGCATTGCATGGAGTTTTTATGAGCTAAGAGCAGAACCTGGTACTTAGTCTCGTTGAACTTCATTCCACTGGCCTCTTTCTAAATTAACCACAAGATTTTCAAAAGCACTCAGGGGATATTGGGCTGTATCTCTTAAAAGGTCATAGAAACCAAATTTGTAGTCTAAAATAAGTTAGAAAATTTTACCCTAAATATGTAACTAGAAAGTGATTGTTTTCATTAGTTGGAATATGATACAAGATAGCAGAATTCCTTCTGTTAATAAAGAAAAAGAAAAAAAGAAATGTAATATACCTTAGCTGTTTTCCTGGAATATCCTGAACTTTTCCAAGAGCCTTTCTTTGTCTCTCAGGATCCAACCACGCCTCAAAATGGAGTCTTTCACTAAGCTCTTCCCCATTTGGGCTTTGTTTACATCACACTTCTGGTTACTAGTATCTCTACAGAAAGGTCTTGCACTAAACACTGCTGTTGGAATGTGAAAGAGAACTCTGCAACTGCCTTAAACTGGCAGAAAATATGAAGGGAAACAAATGAAATGGAAAAAAGTATATCTTGAATTTATCTACTTATGTGAACTAGTTTTTGTAGTGAAAATTTGCTTGTGTATTCAGTGAAAGAATTCAAATACAATTAGATACACAATCAGATTTTCCTCTTTCTCAGCTACTTGTCCCATTTGGAGTTCTAGAGAATATCAAAATAAAAATAAATAAATAAATAAATAAAAATTAAATTCTATTATTTATATATATAAATATAATATATAAATACTGTTTATTCTCTAACAAACCTCAGGGTCATAGGTTTAGTGGTGACTTTCACAGTGCATGATCGGGTGCCTGATTAAGTATGGTCAAATCTGAGCTTTCATTGTTTGATAAATGTAGTATTGAGCCAGATTTACCATTAAAAAAGGAGAGAATATTTTGAAGAAATTTCAATTTAAAAAGCAGTGAGGAGAATAAGAAAGTGGAGCATGAGGATTGGATTAGCAGCCTTGCTAAGTATCCTGGAAGGTACTGTAGGAGGAAATTAATGTATTTTTCCCTTCTGAGTTACCACGTACCAGCTGACTGATCTCAGTCTGAGCTTCTTCAGCCATTACAGAGAATTAATGTCATCTGTAGTTTCTTTTAACAGTGACTTAATAACTAATCATATTGAACATCACATTGAGATCCAGGGGGATGAAATAGTATTTGTCTTCTTTACAGAATACTCCTGAAGGAGAATTTCAGACAACTGTAGAATATGGAGTTATGTCAAACATGTCTGACTGTGGCTTCTTATTCTCTGGTGGAACTGCAAATACTGCAGTCATCTGTTTAAATACCTAAATGTTTCTGGATTCCTAATAGTCTGGAGGAACTTGAAATTTATTTTGTGGTTACAAATTTTGCAAGTGAAAGAGAGACAGGAAGTAACTACAGAGATGGAATTTTGTTTGTACATTCCACCTTGGCTACTGCTTAACTGAAAGGATGTGGTGATCTGGAAAGATTAATTACTAAATATTATATAGAGGCAGACTAAATCTCTACATAAGAATTCAGCAAAGGAAATGTCATTTATAATATTGAGAAGACTGGAAAAAATAATTTAGTTCTGATTTCACTAAATTTCGAGTAATTTCATGTTCATGAAACTTTCAAAAATATGGTATCTGGTTTTGTTTTACACATGGAAGCATACCAAAATGTGAAAATCTCTCAAAAGTTATACTAGATTTTCTTTTTTTAAAAATTTTTTGGTCTTGTAGAGGATAGTATGGGGGAAGTACTTAGCTGTAGTGATTACACAATTTCTGCGAGTCTGAGAAGAGCAATATGGGCAATGTCAATATCATAATTGCAGATGAGTGCAAAACTAGTGACATCTTTTTGACATTTCTCCAAGTTAGGAATGTGCTTTGTGACTTACCTTGATATGATAACCCAACTCAAAACTGTTCAGAAAGGTTCTTTTCACATGTAGATGGGTGTAACTGGTCCTGTTCTTCAGCAGCATTAGCAAGGAATAGAATACCTCTTTGTGCCTGAAAAGCAGTAACACAACCACAAGAAGCATTATTTTTTTCTTGTGTTGTTTTTAACTATCATCCAGAACCTGACTCATCAGTGTTCCTGTTCCCATTACACTCTTGATCTAGGCCTGAGACTAAGCCCTTGCTTCTTCGATGTTGCAGGGAATACAGTACTATCTGCAAGGTAGCTGTCTGAAAACAATAACCACTTTCATTTTGTCAAGTCATCTAATTACTGTGTGGCAGTGGCTGCTAAATAAAATAAGTGTAAATATTCATTATAGATACATAAGTTAAAATACGTATATGTAATTAATAAACACAGAAACCACAATACTTCCTGATTTTTATGTACACGTGGTTTAATCTGGCAGAAGACATAATGTATATGAATTCACACATTATGGAACAAGCTAACAGGGCTTTCAAGTCTGAAACAAGGGTTGTGTTGGCCTACCCACATCCAGTCATTAAAGGGAGTGTTCCAGATAATGCAAGCAAAATTTAATAGTGCTTAACACTGTTCTATTTTTAATATAGCTAAAAGTTCTCCTGTCTGTGCTTTGTTAAACACTCCCATAGAACAAACTGGACACTATAGAAGGTATACCAGAAGTGATGATTAATGAGTGTTTACAGGCTTTTAATGCCAGTTTTATATGTGTACGTGGGATATACTGAAATGCATTTAATTATGACCATGGAATATTAAAAGCAAAGTTACACTGTGAAGCAAAGTAACCAATTCAGTGCACAATATTATTCTGCATTTTCTGAATTATTATTATTTTTTTTAAATATGCAAGAGAAATACAGAGTGGCACCCTGTAGTTGAGTAAAAATGGACCACCAAGCATTAAAATAAGATGGTGAGGCAATAAAGGGAAGAAAGCAAAGTTGAAATTTGGTCATTTTCAAAACCTGCCATTTCTGTGTTGGCTTCCTTTTTGTCTCTGATTATCTTTTTTCATCTTTGTGATTTCACAGAGAAATGAAGTACAACAGAAACTTGTGGAGCCTACTGACAAAGATCCAAATTGCTGTTTATATAGTGCTGCAAATGTGTAAAGTACGTTTCTTGTTGGGATCTATTCTGTGAACAGAGATTTCAAGTACTAATATTGAACTAGTCTTTAGTTACAGAAAGAATCGGCAACAATTACAGCAAACAATTAAAGCTGCTGCTCCCAGTTAAAGCAGTGAAATGTATCTTTAGTTGCTTAGAAACAAGAAATTAAAACTAAAGTTAAGCAAATGAAAGTTGTGTTTGCATTCAGTTTTTAGTTTTTTTGCAGTCCATGGGTAGGAATTCAGATAGGAGTGGACATATTTTGAAAATCATTAACAGTCATAATAAATTATCACAGAATATTAAGTAAGCAAGGGTGAGATGGTGAGCAGAGAGAAGTTTAATTTAAAGCTATAAAAATTAGAGCACAGATGAGATATTTGTGATGTTGCTTTTCTAAAAATTTCTATTAAGCCGAGAAAAGGAATAAGGAAATTTTACCAGATGAACCTATCAAACAGGATTGTAAATGTAAGCCTCCGTTACACACAGCTATGGAAATAGATTTTTATCATGGATTTCTTTAGCTGATAGACATTCATTTAGAGAATTTAAACTGGAAACTGATAATAAGTAGTCATCACTTGGTATAAATATAAGTAGATATGCATCCTCTGAAATTTTCTGTGGACCTTTAAAGGTTTTGCTATCTTCTGTGCTTGTCATTAATGTATCGAGGATCTGTAGCATACTGTCATGGAACTAACAGGAGGAATTAACTTCTTATTGAACTTTTGGGGATGTTTTCTGGACACGCTGCTACCTCAGAGTTTATACTGATAGGTTTTTACTCATGGATTGGCATTTGGTTTTATTTCTCATGACAGTTTTCTTCTGCATTAGTGCAGACAAGGCTAGTGTTAGAAGTCAACCTGACATGTGTATTCTACAGTAAGTAATAGTCACATATCTGAAAAAAGAAGGATTATCATTAGAAAGTATGAAAGAAGAGAATATGAAGAAACATTTCCCAGGAAGTGAGTATGATGTTAGCTGAGAGGGAGGTTGTAATGAGGAAGTGATGGAGCATACGAAACCTGAGGGCAGTGAGTCATTTTGATTATCTGGCTGTGTTGTGAGAACTCTGAAGGAACAAACAGGGGAAGTGGCAGAAATATAGGAGGCTGCTTGTGACATCTCCTCTACCTCTGATAACCATGGCAAAATCTGCTTTAACTTCAAAGATAAATTATCAAGCCTCAAAAGCTGCCAAATTTGAAAAATGCATTTCTTTTCCTTTGTCTTTTGGAGATTAAACATTTTGAATAATCTTTTACTTGAAACTTTATGCTATTTCTTTTTGTTGTTTTGTTTATTATGTTTTTATAATGCTTTTTTTTTTTTTCTTCCCCATTTCTGTGCATTTAGCAAGCTAGCAATTCAGCATTTCCCTCTTCTATTCAGAGCTGATTGCTCTTACTTTTTGTTTGGAACCCTTGCTCTAGTTTAAGGTTTTTAAAATAAACAATCAAAGAAAAGCCACAAAACCAGCTAAATTTTTGTGCATTTCTTATGTAGCTGTCTGATCTAGCTGGAAGTCAAATGTCAGAGCACCTGTTTTCTCTAGGGAATCATTGCCAATTTGCCTTCAAAGCACTGATTAAAAAGTTGAAGCTTGGGCTCAGTTGTTCATTACTTTTCAACATTGTTTGTACCTTTGTAGCCTTGTCTGTTTATTTCATATAGCTACTAAGAAATATATGTGGATGATGATCCTTTTGGAGTTCTCATACCATCTTTTAGCGTGAATTGATGAGGCTTTTTTTTAAAATTTGGCAGTAAAGATTTGTATGGACATGCTGTTTGAATTTCTGCTGAGTACATATAGATCTTTATTAAAATAGTTTTTTTCTGCTCACAAGTTCAAACAAGTCCAAGAAACCTATGCTTTAAGAAAACTTTGATTTGCCCTTTGTAAGGAAGAGGCTTTCCTTGTAGTCCCAAGGTATACAAGTAAATATATCTCAGCAAATAAATTTCTGGGTGAAATTAATTAGACCAACTAGTTCCTAATTTCATACCTCTAAAGGAGAATCCTTCAGATGGTGAAGAGCAGTAGCAGAGAATTTTTCTCTCTTCTGTGCTCTTTGCATGATTCCAGTATTATACTATCCTCACTCTTCTTTGGTACTTAAATACACATGGGTGTCTTAGTTTCAGCTGGGATGGAATTGTTTTCTTCAGAGCATCTGGTATGTTGTTATGTTTTGGTTCTGGGAGAAAAACAACATTGACAACACACTGATGTTGATAGTTGCCTGCAAAGCAGTGTTGTGTAGAGCCAAGGCCATTCTCAGCAAAGGTCCCAAGGAGCTGGGAGGGAACAGAATGAGGACAGCTGACTTAAACAGGCCAAAGGGATATCCCATACCATATGATGTCATGTGAAAAGAGTTCTGATGGAGGCGGGAGTGCATCTCACTCTTCTGCTGCTTGATGGGCTAGCTGGACATTGGCTATGGGCTGATGAGCAATTACTTGTGCATCAAATGTTATATATATATTGTTGTGACTATTTTCCTTTTATCTATCTTGGTAAATAGTTTTGTCTAAACATATGAGTTCTACTTTGTTGTTTGTTTGTTTTTTTCATTCTCTCCTTCATCTCACTGATAAGGGGGAGTGAGCAAATGATTCTGTGGTGCTGAACCACCTACTGGGTTAAACCACAACAGTAAGTTGGTCAGAAAGTAATGCCTCCTATTTGTTTCCGTGGAAACTATAGCAGATAAAAATGAGCACAATAACACTATCTGATAGAGCAAATTCTCAGCTACAAAATACTATTTTCCAATATATTCACCACCTTTAGCTATGCATTTTCACAAATGATGAAACAGGATGTGTATTATGCAGTTGTAACAATCTGCACCAGCAGAAATGAACCACTGTCGATGTCACCCCTGATGAAATGCATCACCCACCACCTCACTGTGCTCGCATCCACTCTGGGGTCTCCGTAAATGTTCAGTGAGTGTTGATAAATGTCAGTGGATGCCATTTTTCTGTGTGGAGGAATTCAATTCCACCCCTTTACTTTATCCACACTTCCATGTCAGGCACTATTGTGTCAGATTGCCCCTATAACCATATGTTGCACTGCAACAACATGTAACTGAATATTGGTGTGAATGTTCAGTCTCTTCTGCCATCCCACCAACATTCACCTCTGACAACAACATAATAAAATAGGAGGTATTGCTTTCAGAGCAGCCCGTGTAGATAAGAGGAAATATTTAACTAAGTAATGATAATTTGTTTTAAATTTCACTTAACAGCATTGCTTTAACAGAAAGTTTTTGTCTTCTTCTAAGTTGTCACCACAGCTGATGGTCCTAGAGCTCTTACACTGGATGATTACTTGAATGGAAATTTTCAGTATAAAACATATTTTCCATACTGGGTGTCAGGTAAGTAATTTTTTTTCTCTGAGGTACTTAAGCATTTTTAATATGCGTTTTCTGACGCATACTAAGAAATATACTTCTCTTCCAGCTTTACTCTGAATAAATGCTAATAATAAAATTAAACAATTTACTAGTCAAAACTCAAGATTAAATTTACACTTCTGTCAGGGATTCTAGAAATTCCTGGTATTCAATGTTGCAACAGAAATATTTGAGTTAAGCATAAACTATCATTTTACAGAGGCTTTTGTTGCTGTATTTGTTTTACTGTCATACTCAGTACAGCATGGTAGAGAAATTTGTCAATGTATCAGTCATGTTTTAAGGAATCTCCCTTTTTTGTGCTTGTCACAGCATTTCTTCACTTGCTGTTAATTATCATTGAGGTTGCCTGTATTGCAGGCCCTGTTTTTGCTTCCAATATTACTTAGTGCTGCAGTAAGCCAACCTGTTTTTATCTCTTATATATGGAAATACAAACACTGCTAAAAATTTGAGTTCCAAGGCAATGCATAGGAAGTAAGGGATGAGTTTCTTAGCAAGTTCCTTAACACAAGAGATAAAGACACAAAGTTAGTTGCTGCTGATGTATGTGTCAATGTGTGTCCAAAATACTACTCTTGTTATCACTGAACTGCAGCAGCACCAGAAGGTTTAAGCTAGGTTGGATTACATTCTAGTACTTGCAGTACTACCACTCATATCTGTGCATTGCCTCAAGCAGTTATTATTTTATCAGTAGAAGCAAAAAACAAAATTCCCATTCACATGGAGTCTTATCAAGTTAGTTTAAAACCACAATTTTAGAACTGAACTGAAGCCCTCCAGGATGTTGCTAGCAGCAGTTCTAGTTTCACAGTTAGCAATTTGAAGTATGTAGACGTGACTTATGTGATTTAAAAATTAGGTCACCATTTGTTAGAATTCTGTATGAATGTCTGAAGTATGTAGGCAGCATATCACCTAAACCTGATATTCACATTCTCTCTTTATAACTTCCTCACTTAGGCTTATCTTTCATCTTAACAGTCACAAAACTCACACAAAAGTCATGCCATAGATTCCATAGATAGTCATGCCTACAGCATTCCATATGCCTACTTTTCTTCTGAAGCAGGGAGCTGAAATTGAATAACTTTTTATATGGGGGCCTGAGATAACCACAAATGCTTTTACTCAAATCACGTCAGCGTTTTCTAAACATCCAAGAGTGATCTAGTTTCTTCCCTAATGAAAACCTTATACAATGTTTCAGACTGCTTTTAAATTGTTAGTCTCTCTCTCTTAAGCTACATCAAGCATGCAATTCCTTATCGCTATTTATAGCAATAATAATTATGATGTGAAACTAAAATTCTCATCTTCAGATCCTACCAAACTGTGGCTCATGTCTTGAACACAGGTAGGATTAAATTCAGTTCTCATTGGAGGCCACTCACCTTCATTATGTAGGATCATTGCATGTAAGAGCAGCCATTTACGTACTGACAGTTACGTGGTACTGCTGTTACATCTACAATCTGTAAAAATGAGAATATTCTGGTAAAATTATAAGCAAGGATATTGAATGTTTTCATACTAGCTTTTATATTGCGATACTGGCATATGATGGATCTGTCCTTATTATTCTTGATCATGTACTATTGAGAATAAAATCTGGCATTTAATAATGAAGCTAACTAGCTGATTCTGCATGCTGTATATGATCTTGAGAACATAATTAAGAAACCTTCTTAAACTGTTAAAATTTAGCATCATTAGTAGAAAACTTCTCCTCTGCGCGTTTGTAGATACTTAAAGAGACTTGCTCAAAGTCTACTTACTGACAAGGGTAGTGAACACTTTGGTAAACAGATCTGTTCTATTTTATCTTCTTTGTGAGGTTACAGCCCACTTATCTTGTTTTTTAAGATAGTGAATATCTTCACCAGAATCCAGAAGATGATATTATTCTTTTCAATGTTGAAATGAACTACCTAACTACCATTATGACCAACAGCACAATGGTATGTATCTTTTCAACTAATAAAAAGACAGTAAAATGCAGTTGTGCTTCAAGTATCTCTTTAAAAGTAATCAGATTAAAACTTGACTAATCAATTCATTATAGTGTTTGCTAGAATCTAATGTACATCTTAAACTTTCAGAAACAAGTTAATGCTTCAAATTATGTGATGTCATCAGACAAATACTTCATAGCTCTGGAGAGCAATTATTCAAAGGTAATTATTTCATATGTTGCTTAATGAAATGTTTGATTTCATTCAGTATGTGTGGTTACTATGCATGATTTTTTTTCAGCCTTTTCTTGAGTAAAGTGAAAGGCTGTGAAAGCCTCATCTGATGGTTTTTACTTAAGTCATCTTTTTTTCCAATTTAATTTTTTTTTTTCTTGCTTTATTTTTGCAGCTGTGGAGATATTCTTATACTGCATCATACCATATTTATGATCTCATATATGGGTAAGGCATGGTATTTTTTACAAAGAGCTACGGTGATACTCTGTAAAAATATACTTGCAAGCATTTCATTGAAAAATTCTATAGCAATGTGACTATCTGCTGCTTGGCTTTTACTTGAAACTGTCTCTTGTTTACTTGATTATTGTTATCTATTAATTCTGAAAAATCAGAAGATTTCTTGCCTCAGAAAATTCTACAGTCCATTCATCTACTCATCCAAATATGTGGATTGTTTTATACTTCACGCCCTAAAACTTCGACTGCTCAAGATTCTCACTTTTTTTTCTTTGTTGCATAGTTCTATCCCACCCTTCTTGGCTGCTTTAGTCCACTTCGGTTTCACACCAGATGTCTCCTTCCTTTTCTTTTTTCTTAATTCATCAACTTTCTGGTTAATTTAATCTTCAGCTTTCCTAAAAATCTCACGTGTCCTTCAGTGATCTTGTAAAGTCTTGGGTTCCCCAAAAACTTTCAGCTCCTCCCATGGCATTTGATCTCTTTCCCAAGATCCTCCCCAGACCATTCCTCTTTTGCTTTCCACTGAAGTCTGAAGGCCTTCTGCTTTCCCACTCATGTTTTTATGCCAGAAGTCACAGAATGACTAAAAGCTTCTTAGTTCTGAGCAGGGACTGCACTGAGCTACATTCTTGGGAAACTCTTGGCTCAATGTGACAGAATTACTGCTAGCTTAAGTGAGTAGAGAGTTACTGCATGTGGCTGTGTGGATCCTTAATAGATGTTCTAACTCTACTGTTGAATTTGCTTCCGCATGTTATAACCTGGGAAATACAATGTGATCTCTGAGTTCTTGTCACCTTGATTGTTGAGGCTTGCTGAGACTACGGTGCAAATAGCAGATTGAGGAAATGCCTGCAGATGCTCGTGCAGTTTTTAGAAAGGGATAAGACTGCCTTCTTAGAACGCTGAGTATATTTTCAAAGGCTTGAGCTGTACCAGCATTCAATTACACATTGTGCACACAATTACATTGCTGCATGCCTCACTGCCTGTGTTAATTTTGCTTTGTTTATGAAACAAAAAATAGCCCTTCAAGAGTTTTATGTGAATGTACAGTGTAATGATGCATTTGTACTGTCAACATAAAGCCATTTCAACCTCTTTCCTTTTTTTAGTGGTTTTGTAACAGAAAATCAGCTTCCACATAAAATTCAGTATATATCCTGGTCACCCGTTGGACACAAATTGGTCAGTAAAGTTAATAAGGCTAGAAGACTTTTATTTGCCTTTCGTTATTCTTTCATTAGGCCATATTTTTGACAAAATTTGTATCAAACTTGCTTATGAACAAGAATGATTTAAAAAAAACAAACACCTTTTGTCAAATTTTAACTTCACTCTTTTCAATGTAAGTATCTGCATTCCTAATGGCAGTCTGTATTTTACTTAACTAGTCAGTCCTGTATCAAGCTTTGACCAAGTAACTGTGTACAGGATTAAATACAGTTTTCTGGGCCTGAAAAACAATTATTTTCTCTTTGACACTATATAACATATGAGTTTAATATGGAGATTTAAAGATCCCATACTTAAAATGTGGTCTCAAATTTTATAAAATATCTCTATTATTATTATTATTATTTCTATTTTTATTTTTATAATTACTTAATAGTTCAAATTATTTTCTTACTAATTCTTATGGACCTGTTGACTATAGTAGGAAGTTTTCAAATGTTCATTCTTGGAATATTGATGCAAGACAATACACTTTAAGCATCATACTAATTTCAGAAAACTCACAAGAAATAAAAATTCAAATGGAAATATATATATATATATATATATATTTTATATAGGAGAGTCATATATTTCATTGGAGAGTCACAATTGAATGTAGAATTTGTCCTATAAGATAAAATTTATTTACAGAAGTACTTGTTCTTGTAGTATTTGCAAAGGTTTTAATACAGTTATTAAAAAAAAAATTTCTTGATTTGTATTCATTGACTGCAAAAAATCTAACAATCCCTCTTTTTGATGCATGTACTCATAAAAAAAAATTCTTATCTTTAGGCATATGTTTACCAAAATAATATCTATTTGAAACAAAGTCCAGGAGAGGCACCAATTCAGCTAACTAGTGATGGAAAAGAAAATGAAATATTTAATGGGATACCTGATTGGGTCTATGAAGGTAAGTAAATCTTGAAAGGCAACAACATATGAAATCTCCATTACTAAGTTCTCACAATCCATTCTAAATCATCTGTGTTGATTAAATGGTTTTAGAGCCCTAAACATTACTTTGTTTATTGCATATAAGGATTTCTTGGAACCAGTAAGTACTTCTTATTTTGGGGAGACAGAAGATGAGAACGGAGTCACATTTCTTGAAACTGTTTTAAGTGGATGTATACTAATCACTATGTACTTTTTAATGTCTCTTAGAAAGGAACCAGGGGACATTCAAATGTGAAGGTGGCAAATTCAAACTAGAATATTTTTTCTTTCACATAATATAGCTAGTCCCTTTCTATATCATGTTTTGTTGTTTATCATGCCCTCTTTGTACATCTGAGCACTGCTCATGGGCTTCCAAGGCAATCTTCCCAAGCTTGGAGGCAGCATTGGATAAAATAGTGAAGAATGTTACTGAAAGTATGGAATCATAGGATCATAGAATCACCAAGGTTGGAAAAGACCTCTAAGATCATCCATTCCAACAGTTAACCTGTCACAAGTATTTCCCACTAAATCATGTCTCATGGTAACCTTTCCTGGGACCGAGGCTGACAGGCCTGTAGTTCCCTGGATCCTCTTTGCGATTTGCCATGTAGATGGGAGTCACATTGGCAAGCTTTCAGTCCTCTGAGACCTAACTTGTTGCCTAGGAACACTGATAGATGATGGAAAGTGGCTTGGCTACCATCTCTACCAGCTCCCCCAGCACTCTAGGGTGGATGCTATCCAGCCCCATGGACTTGTAGCAGTCCAGGTGGAGTATTAGGTCTCTAATAGTTTCCACCTGAATCACAGAGGGTTTATTCTTTTCCCCATCCAAGACTTTCAGGTCAGGGAGTAGGGTACCCCGAGGATAACTGGTTCAACTTTTAAAGACAGATGTAATTAAGGCATTGAGAACCTAAGCCTTTTCCTTATCCTTAGTGGTCACATTCCCTGCTACATCTAGTGAAGGATGGATAGAAAGTAAGAGATGGAAATTGGCATCACAAATGGATTAGAAGGCAGAGTTAATCTTTTCATAATCAGTGAGAGAGGAGTGCTGGGGTAAAAGCAAGCTAAAAGCAAGAAGGGCTTTATGAGCAGGAGAAGCATGATTTGCTCAATGCTTTAAAAAAGGGAGCATTAGTGAGGCTTACCAGAGAAGAGTAACAGAGTCACAGGTATTGTTTACATCCAGAGGGGAGCGTGAGACAATGGCAGAGAAATAGAATTAGATCTTGTTTTGGACAGGAGAAGAATCAGAGCTATAGAGAAGGAGAGTAAGAGAGGTGGAAATTTATATACAGTAGTACTTTGCAGATGTATGTTTTGCCAATGAAATTTATAATTTGGGGGGAAAAAAAAGTTGGAATCACAGAATCACAGAATTGCCAGGGTTGGAAGGGACCTCAAGGATCATGAATCTCCAACCCCCCTGCCACCACATGCAGGACCACCAACCTTCCCACCTAATGCTAGACCAGGCTGCCAAGGGCCCCATCTAATCTGCCCTTGAACACCTCCAGGGATGGGGCATCCACAACCTCTCTGGGTAGCCTGTTCCAATACCTCACCACTCTGTAAAGAATTTCCCCCTGACGTCCAACCTAAATCTCCCCTCCCTCAACTTAAAACCATCTCCCCTTGTCCTGCAGTTATCAACCCTTTCAAAGAGTTGATTCCCCTCCTGTTTGTAGGCTCCCTTTAAGTACTGAATTGCTGCAATGAGGTCACCCCGCAGCCTTCTTTTCTCCAGGCTGAACAAGCCCAGCTCCCTCAGCCTGTCCTCATAGGGGACCAGTCCCCTGATCATCTTTGTGGCCCTCCTCTGGACCCTCTCCAACAGCTCCCTGTCTTTTTTGTACTGGGGGCTCCACACTTGGATGCAGTACTCCAGATGGGGCCTCACAAGAGCAGAGTAGAGGGGAACACCTAGACAGGTAATCACCTCCCTGTCCCTGCTGGCCACCCCTCTTTTGATGGAGCCTAGGATACCATTTGCCTTCCAAGCCGCAAGGGCACACCGCTGGCTCATATTAAGTTTTTCATCTATCAGGACCCCCAGGTCCTTTTCCACAGGGCTGCTCTCAAGGACCGCTCCTTCCAGTCTGTATGGATGCCTGGGATTCCTCTGGCCCAAGCACAAAACTCTGCACTTTGCCTGGAGAAGGGGTTAGATGGATTCTTCAAAGGTTTTAAGCAAATGTATACCTGTGGAATCTGCCAAAACAACATAACTTGGAAATGTGTGCTGCAGCTTTAAAAAAAAAAAAAAGCCATTACTATCGTTAAGAATAATCTATCTATCTATCTTAGAATCTCTATCTATGTCTATGTCTGGATATACATTACAATGACTGCATTATGCATTCATTCTGTGTGAGCAAAATCCTGAGTATTTAGCTACTAAAACTACGTCAGAACTTTACAAATTGGTATCCTCATTCTACTGTAAGTAGTGGTTGAGGATTAAGCGTTAGGGAAAATTTAAAGGTTGGTTGATTATTTGGCACTTCAGTGCATAAAATAATAAACTCGTGCACTTGAATAATCCAAGTGAGTTAAATGCAGTTTGTACATGTTCTGGGAGTTCTTGAGGCCTTTTACATATGAGATGTATAGCAATATGTTTGACATACATCTTGTTATTTATCTAGTAAAACTCTTTTTACATGTCTAGGTTGGTAAGAGTAAAATGATAAAATAGATTAGAAGATAGATTATTTACACTGAGAAACTATTACAAATGATTTCTTTTTTCTCAGAGGAAATGCTAGCAACAAAATATGCATTGTGGTGGTCTCCAAGTGGAAAATACCTAGCATATGTACAATTTAATGATTCTGACATACCAGTAATTGAATATTCGTATTTTGGTGAGGAACAGTACCCAAGAAAAATAATCATCCCATATCCCAAGGTATGTTTATCATTCTTTTGACTTACATTCTGTTGAGAAATATGTTATGATAACTATAAAATCAGTTGTGCTTAAAAAATGTTTAAATCCGTTGGGGCCTAAATTAATGAATGAAAGCAAACGTAGGCCAAGTTATAAAAAGATATAGACACACTCAAAACTGTATATATTGAATAGTATTAGTGAAATAAACAGAATTTTTTATGTAAGTAAAAGGTATATAGGAAAGAGCATGTTTGCATGGTCAAGCCTTACTTTTTCAGTTCAGTTTACTTTCTGCGATGTATTAACTGTGGAGTTGTTATTTTCCAATACAGTATGTCTACTATGAGACATTTTTTAAATTGTTTTTGTGAAATAAAAGGTATGACAGCTTCAGTTTATTTGCAGGCTTCATAGTGTGCTTTGTTCTCAAGGGCTTGGGATTCTACCAGTTTTTTAGTGCCCAACTTAAGGCAAGAACTTCTTGGTTTTGCCTTTTTCAGCATGTACAAACTCTATGACTCATCATCTTTGTATGACTACAAGTGATCATGTTAACATGTCTTAACAAGGTCTCATTTGTCGGCCGAGTTTTGTTGCAAAGTGTAGGGTGTACTGCAGAGGACATCACATCAAGCATTACATTTTCAGTACAGAAGGGCATAGAATGGACTGTTCAAAAGGTTTTCTTTTTATTTATAAAACGGGGCAAAGTTAAATAACAAACTACTTTAGAGTCACTTACAAGATCTTATTAGATCACATTCGCAATGTTGTATTCAACTGAATAAATATTTTGTATCCTATTTTCTATCCCACAAAAACTGTTGTCATTTTCCTACATCTGAATTTGATCTACATTTGAATAACCTCATACATTTTTTTTGAAGGCTGGTGCTAAAAATCCTACTGTTAAAGTGTTTATTGTAGACACTACTAACATTGAAGCATTTGGTCCTAAAGAGGTGCCAGTTCCTGCAGTGATAACATCAAGGTATTGTGCCCTCAAAATATGTCATCAGAGTTTTTTAAAAAACTTTTTGTCTGCTTGTTTTATATGCTTGAAACTCTGAATTGCTTTGTTAACAGTGGAGTGCCATATTAATCTCACAGGTGCATCAGAAGATAAACAAAAATATACATTGATTATGTGTGCCCATATGATATATTGTTACAAAGAACAAAAAATATTCATAATAGAACAGAAGATTTGCTGTTGTCTTCCACAAAGCAAAATGGGGTTATAGCCTGTAGCAATTTTTCTGTATTCCTGCTCTTTAATAACCATTCTTTCTCTTTCATTTATTTTTTTAGTGATCATTATTTTACTTGGCTTACTTGGGTAACAGATAATCGAGTTGGTGTGCAATGGCTAAAGAGAATCCAGAATTTTTCAGTCTTAGCTATTTGTGACTTCAAAGAAAATTCAAATACTTGGGTCTGTCCAGAGGTAATAAAATTGGAAATATACATTGCTGGAATTAGCATGTGCTACTTTCTGTTGAATTGTCCTATTTTAATGCCTACTCATTGTACACAAGTTGCTCTGATTTACTCAAAAGGTATATTTAATATTTCAATGACTTTAGGAAAGTAATTTTGTTTCCAGTGTTTGATCACATTCATCTTTCAGCTAATAATGATAACTTCTTCAATATTGTAAATGCTGTTTGAAGGAAGAATGAAAAAATTCTAATGGCAACAGCACAAAAATCACCAAAATATATTTTTAGTGAGATTCAAGTAACAATCAAAGAAATAAAAATAACAGAAGTGCTATTGACTAGCTTTCAAAATTGTTGCTTAGTTCCTTCTTGCCTCTTCATTTTCTAAAGTGGAACCATATAGCATATTTATTATAATCTTCTGTATAACTTGTATGTTGTAAGTTTATGGTTTATTGACATAGCCTTTCCAAGTTGAAAATACTTGTTCCTCTATAATAAAACAATAATTGAAAATTTGAAAGGAAGCTGAGCTCCTGTTCTTTCAAAACTTTTATTGATTCCACAGAGAAATAACTGGAGTTCATTAGGACAAAATATATATTTATGGCAGTATTTGATGTCTTTCCTAAGTCATTGCTCCTGTATACAAGTACATTAACGCTGAATCTGTATCTCACCTCAAAATCATTTGCATTTTAATAATTGTTAAAACATGTACTAAAAAGTATAAAAAAATAAATAAAGGAATCTAGAGTTGTACCACAATTCACCAACCAACTTAAAGCAAGTAAGCAGTTTAATTTATGTCAGTAGGACTATCTATGTGTTTAAAATTTAGCATGTGCTTAATTGCTTTGCTGGAACCAGACCAGAACAATTAATATCTTGCAGGACTGTGTTCATGATCCTTGTTTAATTGCATTTCTCCATGAAACCTTATTTATGGAATCACTACTGACGTTTCTATAATTCTATATTTATACAGTGATACAATGCTTTTATCACATTAAAGTTTGCACAAATGGCCAATTGGAGGAGTGTGAACAGATGGGAGTGCTGCATTAGCTCTATTTGCTGTTAGGAAATGCATCTCTGTGCGTTTACATCAGCAAAAGTAGTTTTCTTGTTGATTTCAGATTAAATTGAGACTAATGTACAATAAATGTACTAGGCTTTATGTACTTCAAATTAATAACAAAATATAATCCACAGGATATTCCTAAAGTGTTGAGTCATCAAAAATATTCATGTGTTCAAGTCCTTTTCTTGTGAATAAACCAGACAAACAACTATGACTTCAGTGGAATTATTTCTGTGAGTTAAAGCTAGGCATGTAAATGTGTGTTTTGTAAAGCTGGGGTTTACTATAAATATGCCAAGTCTCTAAATTCTGCAAATGCTTTAATAACAGAAAAATCCCACAGAGGCCATGGAAGTATTCATATGAGGGAAGTTAAATATATTCTTTACGTATTATGTAATCAGGATGTGAACCTTAATTTGAAGTAAGATAGATAAATCTACAGTGCAGTTATAAAACAATACTTCTCTTTTTTTCTTATCTTAATAAGAAAAAAGTCCATCTACTAAATGAATGGCTCATTGGAGCCCTTGTGAAGTACTAAACAGAATTCTAAGGAGCAAGCACCTGCAACGTTCGCTTGAATAAGCCAGTTTGCAGGGTGTAGAGTTGGAAGGGAAAAAGTAAAATTCTGAATATTAATAAAATTTCATTGAGAACAACACATATAAAACATATTCTTTAGAAAGCAAAATTGCTGAACTTAATTTGTTCTATGAATAAATATTTTATAAAATGAAAAAGATATAAAGGAGAGCTTGCAAGGAAACAAAGAAATGCATTTATAGAATGCAAGTGTTTAATCACTTGCTCCATCCAGCAAGGACTCTTCAATAAAAAAAACTGTAGGAAAACATTGAGTATGTTTTTTCTAACTTTGTAACTAAAACAAATACACACACACACACACACACACACACACACGCCCCTCTAAGAAGGAGGCACTGATCCATTTATGCTCAGCATAACACTTTATAAAAATCATATTGAAGAATGTTACAAGGAGTTAAAATCAGCTTAATTTATATTCATCATCTCAAAATGTTATAATCTGGGCTGTTTTTGCTAATTGTGTTATTTTTGTCAGTCTTCAATTCTTGTAAGTATATTTTGTGAGATTTTAAGAAGTGATGAAAATCAAGCTTTTAAATGCCCCTTAGACAGAGTAACAAAAGTGGAGAGCCTCAGATTTCTCTGCACCATACTAGTTCAAGTTATTTTACACAGTGTGGATATGAAATAGGTAACACAAGTATTTGTATTTGAAACTGACTTTAGTGGGACTGCTGATGTGGCCATAAGTCTTTGCTATTGCACTGCAGACTAAGAAAATAACTCCTTCAGGTAGTTAAAACCAGAATTCTCTTGCAAGATTGCACCAAATTCTAATATCTTTTATTTTGATACAAAATCTGAATTACTTATTAGATAAAAGAAATATCTTGGATCAATAAAGGTATTAAAACAATTGAATTCATAACTTGGTCCAAAATAGTAAGCTGTTTTCAGAGGATGAGAAATGTTTCTTCACTGTTTACCAGAATGCTCAGCTGGCCAAAGGAAATGGTAGTAGCCAAGCTTTTCAACATTCCAGTTTGCTAAGTAAAAGCATTTTTGCACTATTCTGTGAATTTTAAAGCTTGCATACCAAAATATTTATCCCATAGTTTTAAAGTTTTTAAGGTTTAATTTAAAAGGTAGGCCTTAAAACCTAGTAGTCATTGTCATCTGGTATAAATCAACATGACTACTATGAAATGGAAGGAATTATATCAAGCCAACTGAAAATCTAACCTGCGTTTTTATTTCTGAAATTATTTCAGCTGTTTTCAATCAAAAATTCCTGTTATTTCTTGCTTTCAGTGTAAATGTTGCATGAAGTTGAAACAATTGCCTTATATCTTACTTAGGTCTGATGTCAGAGTTATAGTGGTAACTTAACAAGCATTATATTAACACAATAATATAGTTTACCTCAGACATTTTTCACATTCCTAAATAACCATAGCAAGTATCCTAAAATTTTCTTTTAGAGGAGGTGGTAGACTTTTTAGGTGAATCTTTTAAATCTAATTTAATTTAATCTAATCGTAATCTGATTATTTTTATTGTACAAACTTCTTTAAAAGTGAACATTTGATTTTGTTTTTCAGAATCAACAGCACATAGAGGAAAGTCAAACAGGATGGGCAGGAGGAGTAGGTTTTCTTGTACTCTGCTTTCATTTAATGGGAACTTACAGCTTCTGCATCTTCATGGTGATGTTTTGAATGACAAAGCACTATTTGGAGTCACACAATGCTACTGTCTCAAACCTACTACACAGATGGTTTATGATGTTTTGTTTTGTGAGGCTGCTAGCTTTCTGAAATTAAAAATGTGTTAATTCTTATGTGGCTCTCAGGCAGATAAAGTTAACAGAATTCAGTATGGGGAATTACATGCTCTGCCTAAAGGTCCTGCAGTAAACTTAACTGAGAGCCACAATTTTCAGCATGCCATCCTCTAAGAGATTTTTTTTTTTTTTTTTTGAGTAAAAATTACACATTTAAATGGAGTAGCCCATTGGTCCCTTTCCTTTTTTCACCTCTTCTGTAGAGCTTGTAATGACAGGTTTTTAATACAATTAGTGAAATTGCAGCATAAATTCCTGCTTTAGCCTTTATGGGATTTCCAAGATTAGAGATCCTAGAAGCTGACTTAGGAATAATTTAACTTTTGGTCACAGTTTCTAATTGAGTTTGTGTTAGTATTATTCATACCCACTCAGGAGTGTTTGGTGTGGTTTGAAGTATTTACAAGTCATTGTCCTCATAATTTTGAAAATAAAACAGTTGCAGTAACTGGCTGACAGCCTTAGTAAGGAGGTGATGGGTTGAAAGGAAGTAAAATCTGAATGGTTTTATCTGCAATAATTTGTTCTTAAGCATTAGTATAATAATATGGGAAAGACTGGATACTGATCTCATTCTGTGTTGTTTTTGTTCATTGAATCAGCTAAACTCTGTGATTTGTAGGATTCCAATCTGGCACTGTTCACAAATAATAGTTTCATTCAGAAACTTTTCTTTTTAAGTCACCTCTAAATATTCTGATGTAACTGCAGATAATTTGGAGTATGCAAATTATTCCATTCTACAAGTAAAGATCCTGTATTTGTGGGCAACTTTAGGTATTTGTGTTACCAATTTTAAAAAGCTGACATGAGAGATTGTAAATTGTAATTCACACTGAATAAGAGTGCATATCATGGGTGAACATTTCTCTGAAGTTAATTTTCCACCTGAACTTTCGAAATAGAGTCCTGCTATTTTTAGTTTTTAGACTATAACCTGTTAAACAGCTTGGACATTCTTTCTTTAATCTCATCTACAATGTTCTTTTGTTTCAGTTCTTTGTTTCTGCACCATATTTTACCTCAGACAGCAGTTCGTACTACAAAATTTTTAGTGACAAAAATGGTTATAAGCATATACATTACATCAATGGTTCTGTGGTAAGTCAATCAAAGTTTTCTACTTTAATATACTGTGAATTTATGAAATAATTTTACTGTATTCAGTAACCTATATATTTTGCCACACAGGAGAATGCAATCCAAATTACAAGTGGAGAATGGGAGGCAATTTATATTTTTAGAGTAACAAATGATGCAATGTAAGTACCACTCAGAAGAGTATAGGTTATGAGTATTTTGTCAATAGAAGTAATACTTAATCATTTGACACATACCAGCCATTTGTCAACTCATCAAGTTATAACTATCTATGAATATATTGCATCCAACTGAATGCATTCACAACAAATTCATAGGCAAAGGCATTATACAGGTTTGCAGACTTGGTTTATTTTTGGTAGAGTCTTTGCAAATTGCCCTCAACCTTTCAGTTTATTAGCAGTCTCCCATTTATGAGAGTCTTATCTAGAAATACTTAAAATTAAGTATTTGATTAACCTACCTACAAATAGAAATTATTTCAGTTTTATTTCATTGCATTTGAACTATGGTCTCTCATTTGGTTCACTATGCAGTTAGATGTATCTTACACAATTGAGGTGATTGTCTTTTGAGAATTAAGATAGAACTCTGATTTATATGGTGTATTTATTACCTAATGAGAATTTGAGCAAAGATTTACTAAGATGAAGGGCATGTAAGCTTAGTTTAATCTTCCATCATGAGCAGCAATCTGAGAAGTGTAAGTTAACTTCCAAGACATCTTTTTGTCATGATGCTGGTTCACAGCTCATCATTTTATGGATTATTTATTAACATTTAAATTAATTCACAGTTTCTACTCAAGCAATGAATTTGAAGGCTATCCAGGGAGAAGAAATATTTACAAGTAAGTGTTATCAATGTTGTATTAATGATACTAAGTGATGGGTGTGGATTTTTCAATAACAGAATTTTGTTTCAAAATGTTTAAAGTGCAATTTATCAAGCTATTTTAATTAAATCATGACCTTTTTATGTCTGAGAATCAAGAAATACCATCTGAAGTTTAAATATGCTGATAGGAAAAAAATAATAAAAAGGGAAAACATTTATTTTTAAAAGGAACTGTTTTCCAAGTATGCTGTTCCAGCATGTGAGGCAGACATATACAAAGTTAGTTGTAGCAAAATTAATAATTGTTGTATTTTATTTTTCTCCTAGAATTAGTATTGGAAGTAAGCCTATCAGAAAACTATGCATTACTTGCAATTTACGGAAAGAGAGATGCCAGTATTATACAGCAAGGTTCAGTGAGCGCTCTAAGTATTATGCCTTGATCTGTTATGGTATGTATAGCATGGGAACAAACAAAACCAATTATTTTGTCAGATGTATCAAAACCATATTTAGTAACTGTTAATGCAAACAATGACCAAGGAATCATAGAAATTTCACTGTTAACCAAAAATTTTTCTACAAATTTTTCCATGTTCAAAAACTTTGGATTTTTTTTTTTTCACTTTTATAAATTTTTCCTCAAAAGCTTGGGATTTTTAGAATTAAAAACAAATATTTGAAAATATTCTATGGCACAAAACAGATTTGAAGTTGACTCATCAAAGTTATTCTTGCAGTAGCAAGAGCAGGATTTTGAAAAGATTGATTTCCTATGTATATAATCAAAGGTAGCTCTGATAAACCATTACAATATGTTACCCAATTGAAATGATCAAAATCTGTCAGCTACAAAAATGCTGAATATTTGCTACTTAAAAATATTTTTTCAAGTATAAAAATTCAATTCATCAAAATGTGTGATTATTGAAACCACTAATAATACAGAAGCATGAGTAATGAGTTCATCCATCTTAATCAAAGTACAGTGAAGTTACAGTCTAAAAAAAGCAGGGGAAAAACTATCCAAGATTTTCCTTTTGCGTTTGTCATATAATGTTTACTGTTCTTCTGCTCTGAATGATGAGCTGAACAGTTTTCAGGACCTGTGTTAGCAGAAGACTAAATGTGGCTAATAACAATACCTTTCAATCATTCTTCCGCAAAATAGTCTGTAAGGTCATCACCATATGAAAGCCAGTCACCTTCACAAATATAATGTGACACGTTCTCAGAAGAATGTTTCACAATGTTAATTCCGCAGTCATCTTATGTAATCACATCTCAGATACTAGCTAGATGTCACTTCATCTCTATGGAGGAAGAGTTTGCCAATAGATTTGAAGTTACTTCTATTATGTTTGCAAAGAAATACAGGTGTAGTATGTATGTCTACACACACATTACCTTATGTATTTTGTGCAGTAAAGACTAGAATTCTATTCAGTGGATAAGATTAAGAATGGTATTGATTGTATTCAGCTCTTTAATTCCTGACAGTTACCAACATTAATGTAATTATACTTTATCACCAAATTCTGGCTTCAAACTATAAATGACCTTCCTTTCATTATTATGACAGGTCCTGGGATTCCTATTTCTACTCTTTTTGAGAATGAGAGTGATAGAGGTACTGAAAATACTCTTCCTATTTCTGGACAATTAATTGTATTTCTTATTGATATTCACTAAGCAGATCCTCTACTGTATCATTTAGGATTGTGATCAAAAAGCCTCTCATATTGTATAAGTATTATAAAAATATCTACTGTGTTTCTAATTTTATTAATTAGCAAAATCCTAACATTAATGAATACAGTGATGTATTTATTTTCATTTCTGACCCTAAGAAATTTATGATGTTCTTTTATTTGTTCATATGTTATAGATGAAATCGATATAGGCATCTCTTTGTCTACCAAATTTTAAGCCAAACTTTGTAGAATACTTTGTTCTGACTTCAAAACTATCCCTTTTCATAGCTCAAAATTTTCTGACTTTTTTTTCATGAAGCAGTCCTACCAGAAGCCTATGCCAATCGACTTCAGTGTAGTACTTAGAGTTCATACATCGGGGTACTGTACTGTACTAATTAGAATTTGGGTGGTCTTCAGCCATCAGCAGATACCAGGGAAGACTGAAAGTTTTTTCAGAAGAATTGTAAAAAGTATCCATTCAAATAACTGTTTCAGAGGAGATGTAGTTATCTATACAGAACTGAAACTCCAGCAAGAAACATTCTGACCTCTCCAACTACTAGTCCCCTCTCTTTCCTTCCCCTCCGCTCTCCTCCCCTCCCCAACCTTGTTTATCAAGAGCCCATAATATATATCTTCCTTATGAAAATAGGAATTGCATGAAATGCAGCAAAGTTCCTAAACTTTGTAGTAGTTATGCATTTCTCAACCTCTCTGCAAGAGAGAAGTTTCATTTAAAGGATGTTTACCACTGTTTCCTCACTCTTAGGCTCTTTGACCTTTTGTGTCCTTTTGTGTATTAATCTTACTGAAGTCCTCTGCTTTCATAGTCTCTTTTGTGGTGCAAAACTAATTGTCGTGGATTTGATTGCAAGCTGTGAAAGACTCTTTGTGGATCACTTTGATTTTGGTTGGCATTTTGAACATATATCTCATGAATTTTAGCAGGAACATAATGTTAAATTGACATGGGCTAATCTGGAAGCTCCCTTCAGCATGTTTACAATTAATTTGTGGTAAAGGGCAAGATTCAGATTAGAAAGGAAGGATGGAATGGGGATCAGCTGAGCTTGCATGTGTATCCAAAACTAGGATGATATTTCAGCCATAAAAATTCACTTGAGTCTGCAAAAATTGTCAGAGTACTTTGAAAGAAAATGTTCTAGTTTTATATTTCTGCTATTTTCTGAGCATAATTTAGCTCAAAACATGCTGAGAGTAGTAGTACTTTTATTTTTTCAGCATTTCCAGAAACCGGAAGTGCTTTCCACAAAAAAAAAAAAAGAAAAAGAAAAAGAAAACATTAAAAAAAAAACAAACAAACTCACAAAGGAAAGATCTCCTGGAGTCTAAAAGAATATTCTCTTTCATTTTGAAAGTAAAGATGAAAGTCACAGATTTCTATTACTTACAATATTAATTCACCAATACTCTTGGAAAACAGCATAAGGAAACTAATACCCAGTGAATTCATAATATATAGCTCTGTACTAGAAACTAGCTAAATTATTAATAGTGATTTTAAAATGATAAAACAGTAAATTGTGCCTCAAACAAAGTAAAAAATAGAATACCAAGGAGAAAACAAACAAACAAACATAAAAAAACCACAATGAAGCGTGCTAAGTGTGCAGCAATCCATTAATAAGGACAACTATACCGTGTGTCTAGTGTCTTTGTGGGAATATACAATAAGGTAGTTAACTATAGGTTTGATTCAGCCCCATAGGAAACCAAATATTCTGTGTTAGCCCAGAAACAAGATATTCACAAATATACATGGGCTTAACCATACTGCCCCATAGTCTCAGAGTCTAAATTGACAGTATTATAATAAGCAGGAAAGGAGGTGCTGCAGGAGAAAAGCTTCCTCCTAACATCCAGAACTCTATTATTCACAGCTAGTGTGTGAAATTATTTGCATTGCAAAATATGTATCCTATAAAAAATTAAGGGATATTTGTGCACTGCAACCCCAGTGCCTTGCTTTCATTTAGCTATTTGATCAAGCCCAAATTGAACTAAGCAGATTTCATTATTCTGCTTGTAAACTGACACAGATTTTCTTATTGTTCAAATAATACAAAACGTATCTTATTTAACAAAGAGAAATTAACAAATAAGCTGATTAATAATTTGGACATTTATTTTCCTTAGAGCTCAGAATATTAGAAGACAATCAGGAATTGCAGTCTGCTTTGCAAGAGATCATACTGCCAAAAGAAGAAATTAATAAACTTGAAGTGGATGGTATAAGTAAGAATTAAACATTCTTTTATTTATACATATTTTTATTTATTTTTTACATTTAGCTTTCTTTATTTTGCCTTCATTTTGTTATAGTAAGTATAATCTTTTTGTAGATCAAACTTGTTAGCATGTTAGATTAAAAATCAGATCATCATTCTGTCTTTTGTGACCTGTCTGTTCCTCAGTGTAACCATAAATAATATAAAATGTAAAACACATTTCTTCTTCATGATCCAAGTAAAAAAAATAATTAATGATATTGCTGTGGTATTTAAATATCACATAAAAACACTATAGTATGGTGATAATAAAAAAATGAAACAAAAACTGCCATTTATATGTTATATTAACTTGCCTACATTGTTGTTTTCCTTAGTAAATTTACAAATAATATTCCATAGTAGTGAATCATTGTAATGTTTCCAAAACTCATTTCTCAAAATCTTAATAACAGTTGTACTCCTAGTTGTGTATTTTTAGACACCAGGAAAACTAGAAACCTATTTCTAGGTGAAGTCATAACTTTATACATAGCATAATTTAAATAATAAAAATGAGCACTTGTTTTTTTTTCAAGATTATTTCTAAACAGTTCAACATAAACAATTACTTGTATGAATTTTGTGGTTTACCGTTTATGCACTCTGTAGTTTGTGCTGATTCATATTCTATTACTATTTTATTACTATTTCATCAAACTGAATTGTGCTTGGAGAAACCATTGTAACCATTAGTGATATAACTTTGATATGTCTCTTCTAGCTTTGTGGTACAAAATGCTTCTACCCCCACAGTTTGATAGATCCAAGAAGTACCCACTGCTTATTCAAGTGTATGTAACAATTTATTTCTTTCAATTTTACTGTTTTGACATAAAAATATTCATTATAATTTAGGGAAATCTAAGATGTTTGCAGTATTTTGTAATGCAAAAGAAAAACTATTTTGTTTTTTTTTTGTTTGTTTAATATATTTCTGGAGTAGAAATTCAACCTAAGGGAAATCAATGAGGTTTTCAATATTTATCAAGGGTTAGATCCTTAGTGAAAGAAAAAGAATAAAGGCATATTGTTTATTGCTTGGATTTCCTAGTTCAGTTGCTGCTTCTATTTATCCTGAAGCAATTTGAATATATTGATTTCAGATTTGTTGATATGGAAAATATAAGAGCTTTTCTTACAAGCAGGGAAAAGAAAAAACCCTAATCCTTATATGATCCAAAGGTCCACCAAAGCTGAATATGTTTGGCTGAAATTTAGATCAGAAGATGAAGTCAATTATGTCCTAGAAGTCACATGATAATTTGTATTAGATCATTGTCATAAATAGTGTCTCTATACTGCTCAGCTATGTGAGGTGTGTTCAGCCAATAGTTCCTACAGTACATGATATTCTCTACTGAAACAGAGGTCTAGTAATGACCAAAAAGCTTAAGACTTCTGTTGTTGTTTTCTTTGTTAATGCATAATACATGTGAATATCAAATTGGTGATATGTGGAAAGTTGGACTGTGGATGATCTTGTAGGTGTTTTCCAATCTTGGTGATTCTATGAAATCATGGGGGAGAAGGTGGGGGGGGTGGGAAGAATCAAAAAGTGCTATTACACCTAATTTCTATACCCAATGAATTTGGAAGTAATTAAAAATTGAAGCATTGCTCTTCCAAATATTCCCCTTAGGATGGATACCTGATGTCAAGCCCCTTTGTCTCAGCTAAAACAAATGGAACTTGCCTTAAGCATAAGGCATTAAGGATTTAAATGAATTTTAGAAAGTAAAATTTCATGAATATATGAAAACGGTAGTAGTACTGTTTCTATCTACTGAACTCTCTAAACCACAGCCATTTAGCAAAATACTTGTAGAGAAAATATAAGTTATACTTATCTATAGTCCAGTATCTGGTATTCATTTATACATATGAGTTGAAAATGTCTTTACTTCTAGATATGGAGGACCATGCAGTCAGAATGTGAAACACACATTTAGCATTAGCTGGATAACCTATCTTGCAAGCAAAGAGGGAATTATTGTTGCTCTAGTAGATGGCAGAGGAACAGCTTATCAAGGTGACAAGATTTTGCATGCAGTTTATCGAAGACTAGGAGTCTATGAAGTTGAGGACCAAATCTCAGCAGTGAAGTAAGTAGAATATCTCCCAATACAATTGTTGTACTTACACAACTACAAAAAATGTGGAAAAAAAGATAGATTAAATGTACTCCTGTACCTTTCTTCTGGAGAGCTGAAGTCTCCAGGAAATAAGGTGTAAAACTTGTAGAAATAAAATACTAGTGAGGTATTTGATGTCAATTTGGTTTTGTGTTGTGTACTACATCTACTACTAAATACATATTTGGATCTTGGCACTTTCATTTTGTAAGGGCATCATCAGAGGCCTAAGTAAGTATGAGCATCAGTGGTGAGAGGTAAGCTAATGTATTTTCCACTATTCTGAAGTCTTCCCTGTAGGGGAAATCTACCTCAACCACAATAGAAACAGAAATAGAAATCGTGTCTGAGATCCTGTGATCTTAGCCAGTGATGGACCATAGCTTTTAGCTAAAAGTCAAACATAAAAAAAATTGAATCCTGACTCTGACTTTTCCATAAACTTCTTTTCCAAGCCATCTTAAAATACTTATAAAAGTCAGAAAGTATCTGAGATCCTCCAGTAGCTGTTCCCCACAATTTACACCCCTGCATAGAAACACTTACGAGGTTCCTAAAGGAAAAGAAGTCCTTAAGAGCTTTTGGAGGGGAGAGAAAGCTGAGATTTTAAAGCGAGTCTGTCTGTTAACTTTACAGATGCAGTAGCAGTGTTAAAGTGAACATTTAAAGAATTGTTTAGTTTGAACCTCACAAGAATAGGAGAGTAAGAATTTTAGTAAGAAAATAAGAAATTTATTCTTTGGTTTGATCTTGAATTTGTCCTATCAGGGCATAGTTAAAATTCCATGTATTTAATAATATTTCCCTAGTTAATGGGCCTAGTAGTAACTAGCAGTTAGAAATTGGATATAGAAGTCCAGAATCCCCCTGCCTTTTCTACTTGCTTAAGAACACTGCCTGCATTCATAAGAGTATGTGAGGAGGATGTCTGTTCCTGCTTTGTGATAATTCATTTTCCACCTCAATAATATAAACACATCATTATTGTTTTCAGTGATAAATGAAACAAAATATCTGTTTATCATGCTAAGTTTTTCAATGTAATACATAATTTTATTGTATTTCTTGAATCTATTAGCAGCAACAACATGTTTAAAGAGAGAGAAATTAGTCCAAATTGTCACTTGGACATAAAATGCCAGAGACGAGGGAATCTGATTCTGCAGTTGCAGAATTTGCTGAGACAAGCTGTGAAAAAATGACCTCAGACTTCACACTTCCCAATTTTCTGTCAGCACCTAGGCTAAATTTTTATTCAGTTAAATGCATTGCATTCCATCTTCCTGATCTAACACATGGTTTAAGATGCAAGAGTTTTAGAGAAAATCAATCATATACTCTAGCGGGAAGATCTTGGAGGGGCTTTTACTATAGGAGGAACCCCATGGGTTAAGACAGCAATATAACAAAGCTGAATCACTTTTTGGCTCATCTAATTTGGTTCCACCCAGACTGCATTGGATATTTTAGGTATTGCCTGTCATTTGTGCTTGCCCTAGTAAAATAAGGCTAACAGCTGCTGATATATCTCCTGGGTTGTATCTCTTTCTGTCTTGACCCAACATTTTCCTTAATGTATGAAGCTTAATTTGGAGAGTCAGGACATTATATCCAGGTAGATATTAGGTATTAAAAATAACTTTTTTTTTTTACAAGATTCTAGTTGTGTAGAGTCCTCATTTTATCCTCTGGAGCAAAAAATATTATGCAAATAAACAATTTATTTTGTCTATTTTTATTCATTGAAGAAAAAATCTTCCTTTCCTCTGAAATGTCTGTTAGTCAAATACTTTGTAGAAATCAGATACGCTATGTTGATTGTCAATTTGCTGAAATTGTCATGATGTTTGAAAAAAGTGAGAAAAATATTTTTTGCTAATTGGGTATAGTATTAACATTGTTGTTTTGCAATAATACATTTATTTCTATCTTTTTTTTTCCACAGGAAATTTATAGAAATGGGTTTTATTGATGAGAAACGAATAGCAATATGGGGCTGGGTAAGTGGTTTATCTTTTTATTTGTCTGGAAATAATCCTGTAATGTAATTGCATATAATTCTTCCTTATCCCTCTCTAGAAAAGAGTTAGCTTAAGATAACTATAGAGGTAGCATATATGCCACACAGTCCCCTTATAGAAATTTTTAAGCTTTTTAAGCTCAATTGTTCATCATTAATGTCTAGCTAAAGAATGCACAGACATTACTGAAACCCTGCTTCCTAGCCTGCTTAGTATCTGCAGGAAAGCAAGCTGATAAAAAATGCCTAAGGGTCTTGTGAATTAGGGACAGTACTGTAAGGAATGCCAAAAGGGATTGGAGGCACGTTATCCACCTCTTTTCGCTGTCCAGGTAAATCAATATTGATTAACCAGCAGTAACAGGCAAGTTTACAAAATAAACTGTTATGATAGCCATTCATTAACACTTTGCAATACTTTTCTCTTTGTATGTGTTCATTTTTTTCTGATTATCATTTAGAAAGACCTTGTATTTTATTTTTTTACTGTTTGTCTTTTCCAGATTTGTATGAGATCCATTCAAAATCAAAATATAAATCCTCTGTGTATTTAAAGCAAAATACTTAGTTTGAAATTAATATATATGAGTTTGATCTGGAGAACAAAATGGTGCTTCACAATAGTTTTAAACTATCTCTGATTTCTTCCTAGTCCTATGGTGGATATGTAACTTCTCTGGCACTTGGATCTGGCAGTGGAGTATTTAAATGTGGAATAGCTGTGGCTCCTGTTTCCAGCTGGGAATATTATGGTATGGAAACTTGTCATAAAAGCTGACTTGGAAAGAGATGCAGCATTTAATGACTTTCTAAATGAATTCATTGCAAGAGAATGGCAATATGAAACCTAAAGGCAGTGCAATTACCTAAACATAAAACTCTTAAGACCTTAAGTTTAACATTTTCCTTACTGAAAATAACAGACTGCAATTGACAGTTTGAAACAGATTTTGTCACAATTCCAAATGCACATCTGTAAGTGTAAGGGTGTAAAGCCCGCTCAGTAAACCACCATACTCTGGAGTGATCTCCCTGAAAAAAATCCTGTTAAAATTGTATCACTGAGTTCAGAAACAGATGAACTGTGTTGTAGTCACAGTACACTCCAACTTCATCTGCAAATGAACTCTGTCAGGAATGACTACCACTGATGATTGCAAGGCTATTTCCAAAAAGCAAAGAAAAAGAGAGGGACATATTTATGTCTGAACTCCTATTTTTTATTTTTAAGTATTTACCCCTTAGATTTTTCTCAGCCACACCCTCACTGTTGTGTTATAAGCCATATTTTTCTTTATGTTTACTGACTAAAGCTCCAAACTGTTTTGAAGAATCTCTGGGAGTATAATCTGAGGGCCGTACTGTGCGAATAAAGCAGATGCATACTCATACTTGCAGACCTGCTAGCTTTTGGCATGGCGTAGAGGAACCTTAGTGTAAAAAAGAATCATGCCATGCATGTTTTCAGTGAGGAAAATGTAGCACTTTGAACACATTTACTTAGCATATGGTCGTTTGCTAAGAAGTCTTGGTTATGAGAAAAAATTTTGGTTAAATGGAAAGGATTGCTTCCCTGACTGCTAGAACAGACATTCCTTGTATTTATGGTGTTTTGCAAACAAAGGGGAAAACATTTGTATGGCACAGGAAGCATAGTCTTCATGTTTTCACTGGCATGAATGTTTTTTGAAGACATCTTCGCTCATGATCACAAAATTATTTCTCGAATGCAGGCATTAAGCACTATTTTTGCAAAGGTCTCACTTTAGTCGAGTTTTCAAGGGATTATTAAAGAGTCTTTCTAAAAGCACACTGGAAAATCTAGGCAGGCAAAGTACTGCCTAGAGGTGCTCCCAAAGGAAGGAAGGAAGGAAGCAGAACTAAGTCATTAGTCATGAGTTTTGGCAAACAAAACATGTTAATATTGTGGTGAACTACGTTAGGGGCAAAACTATAGGATGCTACATATCTGAGATTCCAAGGACAGTTGTAATGTCAGAGAATGTACTGGCTCCTAGAGCTTCTAAATTTAGTACTGCTTTCTTTTAGATGCATAGATTAGAGTTTGGAGCATAACTTTTTTCTAAAAACTTCCCACTCACCTCCATTTTCTGTCAGTTAATATAGCAACTGAACAATTATAAGTCAAATTGAATTCAGGGACAATGTATGGTTTAAACATTAAATATGTGACTGCTTTATTAAAATTCTCAATCTCTCTCTTTTTTTCTTCAGTAATTGACAAGCTGAATCTTCCACTTAGTCATTGTAACACTATTCTTGCTGACCTCAGTGGACTTGTTGTAGCTATACTGGTAGAAGAGAGTGGAGAATTTGGCTCAAAATGCTGTAGAAATGCCAGCCATTCAAAAAGAGTTTATTTTATTGAAAACTCAAGCCCAATATGGTTGTTTGACACTGTGTTGACAACAGATATTGCACATTTTCTGTTTTCATTGAATGATAAAGAATTTTGATAAAAGATGATCTACTTAGGTTTTTCTGCACTTAGTTTATTAGAAAATATCTATGGGAGACTTACTTCTCTGTTTAGGAAGGCACAAGGAGACTTGGAATGTTATCAATGTGTATAAATATGTGAAGGGAGGATGCAAAGAGGATAGAGACAGACTCTTTCCAGTGGCGCCCAGACAAGAGACAATGGGCACAAAGTCAAACACAGGAGGTTCATCTGGAAACACATATCTACTGTGTGGCTGAAACACTGACACAGGTTGCACAGGGTGTTTGTGAAGTCTCCCACCTTGAAGATAATCAGAAGCCATCTAGATATGGCTAACGTAGTTGTAAGCAACCAGCTCTATCAGACCCTGCATGTACAGGAGGATGGGACAAAATGACCTCCAGAGGTTCTTTCTAACCTCAATTTCTGAATAATTACAGTGGCCAGTACTTCTGTTATGTGAAAGAAAGATGCCAGCTTTTCATCATCAGAAAGCCCTGACTGCATAAAATAAATAAAATTCTCATAGTACTGCAGCTTGACAACTCAGTATCTGCCAGTAACTCTTTCAATGATAGTCATAAATAATGTTCTTGTAGTGACAGCTGTTACATCAGTTTTACACAGATTTTCATAACTGCTTTCAGTTAAATTACAAACATACAGGCAGCTCAAAGGAAGCCGTTCCTAATGGTTTCTTGGTGTTACATACTGTTCAGTTATTTGTTCTTTTTTTTGTTTTCAAATCCATGAACAACCTTCGTTGCAGTTAGACAAAGGAACTGGACAGAGACTGAAAAGCAATTGTAATGTTTTTTCAATGCAAGTCTTTATCTTTTCCTATTTCCCCATAAGTATTTCTCATTTCCGACCAGTAGGAAAAAGAAAAAAGAACATTTCTTCCATATTCAGTGTAAATACTCATGTGCATCCCAGGCTGGAATTCTTCTCTGCGTTTTTTTTTAGTAGTCTCTACTATCTTTCCACCACACTGAAATTATTCAACAACGTGACTCATTTATCTGACTTCAGGAGCTCAAACCAGTAGCATAAAGTAGCATGAGTTAATTGTATTTATCCACAAAATCTTGTTTCTACAGATGAGTATCGAACCACTATTTCTGCAAGGACTGTTAGGAGGAGATGTATTAACTATCCTTCATATTTTTTAATATGTTTAGATTTGTTGTGTTATGAGGAAATCAAGCAGAACAGATATAGTTAACATAAATGTTCAATTTTCTATGCGTCACTGGAGGCACAATCTGCATTCTTTATCTATTGCTTTTTCTTCTTTAATATGACAGCATCTATCTACACAGAACGATTTATGGGTCTTCCTGTAGAGTCTGATAATCTTGAGCACTATAAGGTGAGAATGCGTTCTTTTTCATTTGCCTTAAACCTGAATCACATTTCCATAGACAAGCAGAATAGTGAAAATGCAATGATATAGAAGACCTGCCAGCTAGCATAATGGTGCCCCTCTAGCAGCTAAAGCTGCTGCTCTGAAATTCATATCTCTGTAATTACTCACAGTTTTATATTTATCAGTCCTAGGTATAATAAACTGTAGGATTCTTATTTTCTCATTGGACAAATTTGTCTGTTTTGACACTGCAAATCATTAACTTAGGAAAGAACTCATGATAGAGGTTAAAATGTTGGTGTTTACTAGGTTTTGGTTGGTAATATTTGCTAAGTTATGCCAGTTTAGTTGTCTGATAAAAATGTCTTCATACTAAAAAGTCAGAACACATTCCTCTGCAGGAACAGATTGCATTTTTGCTTTTCTTCACGTTGATAGGAAATCTATAGCTTCCTCTAGCAGCACACATACCAGCTCTCAATACAGACAAGCCTGAAATAAACCCAGAGAAGTTAGAGAAAGCACTCTTAGGATTTTGTACTATGATCAGAGGGCTGGATCACCTCTCTTATGCAGGGCTGAGGCAGCTGGGCTTGTTCCAACTAGAGAAGAAAAAGCTTCTGGGGTGACCTTCTAGGACTTTGAAAGGAGCTCACAAGCAGGAAGGGGAAACAGACTTTTTATGTGGTCTGACAGTGATAGGACAAGAGAGAATGGCTTTAAACTAAAAGAGGGGATATTTAGGTTAGATGTTAGGAAGAAATTCATTACTCAGAGGGAGGTGAGACCCTGGCACAGGTTGCTCAGGAAAGCTGTGGATAGCCTATTCATGGAGGTGCCCAAGGCCAGGTTGGATGGGGCCCTGGGCAGCCTGATCTAGTGAGTGGCAGTTTTGTCCACTACAGAGGATTTGGAATTAGATGATTTTTAAGGTCCTTTCCAACCTAAGCCATTCTATGTTTCTATATTCTCAGTGTCTATTCTCCATCCTAATCCAAATTGCAGCAATGCTCAATACCAAACTGCCTTCACAGAGCTGCTCTGTGTAGCCAGGAATTACAGAAAATGACACATGGTGGGTACTGTGCTTTTTGTGAAGTGCCTATAAATTTATTTAGCTTCTATTAATCTCAGATTTAGATGAAGTTACTGCTTTCTTTATGATGCCAGTCCAACTGTTTGATTGCTGTTACACTGGGTAATTTAAACCTTTCAGCTCCATGGCTTAGTAGTTTAAATTGAAGCTGCTGAACTCTTCACTTTTCATCTCAACAGAATTCAACTGTGATGGCAAGAGCAAAGAATTTCCAAAACGTTGAGTATCTTCTCATTCATGGAACAGCAGATGGTGAGGTTTGCAAATGGTAGTACAAATACAGAACCAGAATCACTTTGTTTGAAAAACATTAAGCATCTTTCTGTGCCTTTGATTAGGATCAGTACTTAGATCTTTGATAGATTTCCATGCAACATGTTATTAGATGCTTGCTCGTTCTTAGTTATGTCAACTGTATTGCTTGATAATCAGTGGACACAACTTAATGCACTAGAATTTTATGCTTTGTGGTATTTACACATTTCAACAGCCAATCTTTTTTCCTATTTTTCAGATAACGTACATTTTCAGAACTCAGCACAAATTGCAAAAGCTCTGGTTAATGCACAGGTGGATTTCCAGGCAATGGTAAATAACAGACTATTTTTCATTTTGAACATTGGTTTACAGCTTTATCAACAAGCTTATCTGATATGTTGATGTTGTTTGTTGATGTTTTTAAGAACACAGTTCAACAAGATCTGGCAATTTTACTGCAATTTTACTGTTTACAAATCATTTCTTCCTTAAAGGATTCACTTGCTCTTCCCCTCAAAACTCTCTCTGTATTTTAACAGAATTTTTCTCTTATCTAGTATAACATAGAAGCTTTTAAAATGAGCTAGGGAGAAGAATGAGAGTCCAACCTCTTTCTAAAATTTGATGATAGCTAATAAAAGCAAGGAAGACGAAAAAGCTGGATTCTGGGATCAAAATTGTCAGTGATTCTGATGGATTCTATCTTGACCTGACATGCCTGTAACAGGCAGAAGGTGAAACAAGGAAAAAAAGGAATGAGGTATCCAAGTAGTATATCAAGGACATGAAAAAACAAATGAGTTGTCTACAAAATTTGCCTGGGGAAGATAATGCAGGCAAGCAGAGAAACACATAGATGAGAGGTTACAGGATATAAATGAGAAATGAACAGAGGAAAAGTAACACTGAATTAGGAGTTAATCTATGCTTCCGCATGTGTTTTCTCCAGACTAGTGACAAAAATATTTGTCTGTTATCAAACATGTAGGCTGTCTGCTTCAGACAACTTTTCCAGGTCTATGAACACCTTGAACATAGATCAGACATGGGTCCCCCTGTACTTGGTATTTCTACAAGTGAATTGCACATTTTCTGTCTTCACTGATATTTAGCAAACCTGGGCCATTTCTCAAGTATCTAGAAAAGTACATGGAATACTGTCTGCAGTTTCAGTCATTATTGTTCAGCTGCAGTGGAGTCTCAGTAGTGTTAGGATAATGTGGGGAATATCTTTGACTTACTTAATGAAGGCAGAACGTTTTTAGCCAAGTAAAATAAAATCTAGAAAACAATATGATTGCTGCCTATGAATACAGTGGAGGACAAATACAGAGGAAAGAAAAAGCTATTGAAGCAAAAAGACAGTTGGCACAAGATTAAGTGGAAGTAAACTACTCAGAAACATACTGAGGTTGAAAATTAGAAAAAAAAAAGTGTTAAAACAGTTAGGCTTTAGAACAGGCAGAATTCAGGGGAGCATGGCACGAAAAAAAAAACAAAACAAACAAACAAATAAACAAACAACCAAGCCAGTCTGCTTTTAAAATTCTGACAAATACAACCAGTATAAAGGAATCAGATTTTACAATCCAAAGGTGCCTCTTACTCCTTAAATGAGAAGACAGAACAATTCTACTCTTCATAGACTCATTGAATTAGTTGGGTTGAAAGGGATCTTAAAGCCTACGTAGTTTCAACCCCTGCCATGGGCAGGGTTGCCATCCACTAGATCAAGATGCCTAGGGCCCCATCCAACCTGGCCTTGTTCAGGGATGGGGCAACCACTGCTTCTCTAGTCAAACAGTTCCAATGCCTCACCTCCAAGTAAAGAATTTCTTCCTAACATCTAAGCTTCCTAAATCCATTCCCTTCTATCCTATCAGAGCATGTAAGAAGTTATTTATTTGAGACATGTATTTTCTTCTATATGGTAATACAAAAAAGTTCTGGTATTTTTTAATTAATACAGAATTGAAGAGAGCATGTATGTTTATGACTTTCTTTTTCTTTCTTTTCAGTGGTACACTGACCAGAACCATGGTATTCCAGGACTTTCCAGCAAACACCTCTACACACATATGACCCACTTCCTCAAACAATGTTTTTCTTTGTCAGAATAGGTAGGCTACTCAGAGAATGCTAAGCCATCTGATATATCTCTGAGAGAATGCCGAGATAGCAGTGCCCAGGTTGTATTCAGGTAAATTGATATCAGGATCTTTGAAGTTTATAATTTGATATTTACATCCATTTTTGAGATTGTATATTAGCAGGTGTTATGTTAATACATGTTTTGGCACATTTATCACCTGTTTGATAGCAAAAAGTAAAATCGGAATGTAAACGGGATGTGCACTTATTGCCATCTTGCTTAAACTACATTCTGCATTCCAAAGATATGTGGTCCATTGCAAAGGCATGCTGCTAAATGAATATAATTACATTTGTTAACTATAACCGTAAAATAGGAAGGGACAAAGAAAGAAGTGCAAGTAACTAATTAGCATCCTAACAAGAACTAGTTTCTCAAAATTTATGTATATTTCCAGTTTCATGGAAAGAATCCAAGCAGAGACAGGAATATAATATTTGAAGCTGTAGTATGGATAATTATTGAACGCTCTATTCAAATTATATTCAGCTCTTTTTTAAAGCCCTTGTTGTGCAAAAATCTGTATTCCAGTTTAAATATGGAAGCAGGACATTCACAATATCTATTTTATCTCAGTGTTGGTTTTTTTCTGTCTGATTTGAGAATATGTTAGACATTTCAACCTGTTTTTACTCATCACCTCAACGTTTACATTAATTTTAATGTCATTCATCCCAGATTGGGGGGGGGTCAAAGGAATATGCAGGCTTTTTTGTTTAGTTTCCATTTTGACTATTTTAGAGCATCCTATAAAAAGTCTAGATAAATAATAACTGGATCACATATATTCTTTTAATTGGTAATTAAATGAGTCCAGTCATAATATAAGAGTATGAGCAAGAAAATTGGCAGGAGATCCATTTCAGATGGTCAGATGTTTAAAAAATTCTGAATTAGCCCACTGCCTAAGAACTGTTGTCTGTCTAATGCAGTATCTCAGCTCTGCTATTAGCAAGTAAGTTCAAAATAACCTGAAAAAACTGTGGAGTAGAATTCCCAGCATAAACAGCAACAACAACAACAACAACAACAACAACAAAATCAAGCTGCTTTCCAACTCCTAGAGACTGGTTGTTGCTTGTGGAACAAGCACAGATAGAGTTTGTGGCATTTAATTTGACCCTTGACAAAAATATGGGGTTTAGTCAAAATCATTAAAATGTAGAAGTGATTTGCTATGTAATGACTTCCTTCATTTTGTTAATGGCAGTATCAAATCTGATTTTCTGTACATGAGAACATTTCTTAGACATCTTTATGTAAATGTAGTTACCAAGCTGTTTGTAATGGTTAAATTATACTTTGATAGAATTCTTCAGAAAATACTCAATTAGTTCAGGTTTTGTTGGAAACACTGCCAATTACATGATGTTAATGAGTGTTCTGTTAGTAATGTAATTAAAATGCGACTGCTATAATGGTTAAAGGAAAAAATTACCGCTCTAAGAAAGTTAATGTTAAGCAAATATAACATAAAGTAGGGCTAATTAGATGTTGATAATATGGTCCTATGTGCATTTTCTGTAAACACAAATACTATTAGTGATGTGATTATTCTACAAATAAGGAATACAATTCAGCTGAAATTACTGAGATTTTACTATCATTTTTCTGTATTGATACAACCTCACAAAAACTACTGCAACTTTTTTGTGAAAGAGAATAAAATCAGGGTATTGCAACAGATGTTTAAAGGTTTTAGATACCTGAATAAGTCAGTAGGAACCCAGATCAGTTTTCAAACTGCATGATATCAAGCTCATATTAATCATTAAGTTTTCTGATTCTGCTGCTTTATACTTTATTTATATTTTTGAAAATCCTACACGCCTTAGAAATTTGACCAGATAAACCAACCCCTTGTGGATACTACAAGTAATAATGTAATACAACGCACTGTTTACGCTTTGACCATAGGTCTGTAGTCAAAAGCTTCTGGAGTTACTTGAGATAAGTGACGTCTGTGGAAACTGTGTCAAATAAAATAATAGAAGGTGCCTTTTTTTTCCCAAGGGATGTATTGGCTTTTTCATCCTTTATTTGCCTGTATGTCTGTTTTATTTTGTGAAGGGAAAAAGAACACATCTTCTAAACTGTCCACCATTTCCTGGGTTTATGGGAAGCATTTGTGGGGATAAACCATGAAAACTTTTTTTTTTTTTAAAGTGCACCATGCTGCTGTCACTTTTGCTTTACTGTTTTTCATATTGTTATTTTATTTACTTTATACAGTTCTCTTGAACCTGAAAGCTTTTAGACTGAGCAACCATGTATTTTGATGACCTGGGGAAAATGTCCTAGAATGCTGTGAAAGTCAAAAAAATTCAAGCGTAAATAACATATTAAAGCAGCTTGCCTATACTAATAGCAGGTAACAATGCAATCATTCATTAGAAACGATCCAGAGCACTTCTAACCGGCCACTGCAGAGTCACACAATGATTAAAGTTGAAAGAGACTTCTTGTCCTACCAAGACTGTTTCAGTGGCTCAAGCACAGCCACCTAGATCATGTTGTTCAGGATCATGTTCAGATACCTTTTGAACATCTCTAAGGATGGAGACTCCACAATCTCTTTGAGCAACTTTGCCAGTGCTCAGTCACCTGCACGGTAAAGTTGTTGTGCCAGACAGAACACCTGTCTTCAGTTTGTGCACATTGCCTCTCATCCTCACACTGATCACAGCTGAAAAGAGCCTGGCTTCATCTTCTTTACACCTCCCTTTCAGATGTTTATATATATTGATAAAATACATACCCGAAGTCTCCTTTACTCAAGAAAAAATCCTTTTCCTTTCTGCATTGCTTTCCAATCCAATCACAATCCATGTAAAACCATCACCAAAGACACTTAATAGGACAATTATTTGCCCCATTCCTTCTCCTTAGTTGAGCCTACAATATTTAACTACAGTTCTATAACAGAACTTCAATATAGTTCAAGGTGAAAGGGCTTGTCCTTCAGAATCTAGCTGAAGCTAACAAAAATATGTTTGAGAGTTGGTCTTACATATGAAAAATAATTATGTGTCTACATTGCAAACATAGACAATGGTATGTAAAAGCCAACGCCAGAACACAAACAACTTACTTTAAAATTAAAAAATGGTAGCTTTCATGACACGATTTTCCAAATTTGTGAATGAGAGTCCTTAAAGTTTTACTTCTCACTTTAGACCATTTTAGAGGATCCAGTTTTCAGAAAATGTTGAGTAATTCTGCATTTTCTTTTTCCCTTTTGAATAAGAATCTCATACTTGAGATATCACTTCCAACAATGAAACTTAGTCTTCAAGTCTGTCATATGAATGACATATACTGAACACCGAAGTTGAGGTACTGATATTTGTTCTGAGTGAAAAAATCACCACAGATAGAATTGTTTGCAAGTCTGTTTTCCCCAAAAATCCTGTATAACCTTTACAAAATACACAGCTGAAAAGCCTTGTTCTAGGAGATGGACTGTACATAAACTATAGCAAATCCACTGGTTCCACTACTAATTATTCTCTCCATTTTCATCATCTCCCCCCTTACTGCTGCTTCATGTATGAATGAATGAGCAATATTATGCAGTATCTATCAATGAACATATGTTTCTTCATACTTAAACATGGAACTACATTCTTTCCTTCGCACGAAATTACATCTGCAAAGAAGTCTGAAAATAAAGCAGCATTAGTAGAAGACCAAGTGTAACCTCAGCCAGTCTCCAGAACATGGTTAGTGTTATACTCTTTTTACTTAGCTAATAAGTAAAAATCAGAATACATTCAATTTTTTCTAGTTTGCCAGTCAATTCTGATTACAAAGCACAGCTGTTTAGTTTATTTTATAGAGTCTTATGAATGGTCTATATTTAATCTGAATAATTCATATTATTTGCTAAGAGAGCATTTGATATTACTTTCAATTATGAATATTGTCTTCTCAGAATGTAAAGTACATACTTGACTGGTTCTTCTGCTTGCGCAAACTGATGAAGCTCCATTGATTTCAAATGGAGCAATTCCAATTTGTTATCAGTAGATAGTGCGGGATATTTGCATAGTTACAGTAACTTTTTCCTGTGGACATGGAGACCCTAAATTAATCTTCCTTTTCAAAAAGCAGCTTCTACTCTCCAGGGTGTAGCCATAGAGCTACATACAAATATATGCATGCATTTTGTGCATGTACATGCATTTGAGCAACATTTGTGCTCCAATTGCTTTATATATGTCAGTTTCTACATGTGTATGTTGCACCAGTTCCCAGAAGGAGAATGCAGGCCTCTTTTTGCCTCATTATCATGTAGCAAGGATAGGAAAATAAAAAAGGCTACACGTTTAAATGAGGAGGTTGGTGCCATGTGGCAGGGTGGTTGGAGTTTCATGATCCTTGAGGTGCCTTCCAACCCTGGCCATTCTGTGATTCTGTGATTTCAGCCTCTGTAGTCATGATTGAGAAAATCAGGAAGAGAATGCTTCCTGTGCAATGTAAGAAAGAAAAGGTGCCGGGTGTGCAGTCAGATCCCAAGATTCAGCCTCCTCTCTCCTTACTTTAGGTACATAAAGGTACTAATAGCAAAACACATGGAAAAAGCAGTATTTTTTTTACTTTAAAAAGTCAGCAACTTTCTCATGCAGTTCAAATCTTGAATATTTATTTTTTAACAAAACATCTTCGAAGAAGTATGATATTCAAAGTGTGCAGTCCTATGCTATGAAAGGACATGCCATCTGGATTTTTCAGTGCTAGATCTATAGGTCAGTGTGCACCTCATTAGAATTTTTTTCTTATTTTACTTCTGTAATTTCATCCTAAATTTCTGGTCCAGTAAGTATAATATGCAGTCTCTAACAGCAGCCATTACCTGGTGCTGAGGTGATGCTCTAGGAAACTTTGATCATCTCCAAATTTAGTGAATCAAACTAAAAAGCTTTTAATATTTCCAAATGATACTTTAAAAACATTAAGATGCAATTTTCTTGAAGGCAGGTCATTTTCAGGTTCTGTCTTTTAGTTTGATTCATCTGAAGTGTGAACTATACATATACTAGACATCAAGTGTGAACTATAATACAGAGGAGAGTGAGCCCTTGACTTGAGCCAAGAGGTGCCATCTAACTTTTACATCTGTGATGTAAAAGGAAAAAACTTTGTTCAGGATGTGTACAAATGCACTCTTCACACATGCATGACAGCTTTCTATTTCTGTTTAGTGTAGTGAACTTGTTTGCTGGGCTCTATAAATATGTATTAGTCTAGATTCAGTTATGGCAACTGACGGGTGCGTGGTTCTTGATGGTATTTAATTTCTTTCCTGTACTTTATTGTATTTGTTTCACTTGAAAAACATAATCAGGCTGTCATCTTTTAGATGCTAGATGACCTGCTAAATGAGATAGCCCATGTAACAGCCTGCTCAGTGAGGTGCACTGGGCTGCTGTCTCATATATTTTTTCCTGAAATCATCCTACTGTAAACTTCATCTGACACAAGAAAATATACAAACCCAAACAAAAAGAGCCTGAATGGTGGAGAAGGTATTGTCTCAAATTCCGTATTCTTTGTTTAGAAATGTGTGGAGCTTTAATTCAACATGCAATTATATTGTCTGTGACAATCCATTTCAACATGTGTATCATCCTGGTGCAAAATAAAGGTCTAAACGACCCTTTTATCACCATCTGCTGTTGTATCAGCGTACTGCAGAGCCAGGGAGCATGCCTGCCTGCCTGCAGATGTAAAGTTAATGAACTTCATGGACAGAGTAGATTTGGAATTACCGCACAATTTTGCAGTGTTAAATTGCAAGTAAAAGTGATGTTGAGATATGAAGACAAAGCATCACTGTGAAACTGGCATCTCAGGAGGACAATTAGATTTTTTGAGCTTAAGATAGTTTCCAGGTTAATTTTGGCTCCGTGAGCATTACATCTTCAATATTGCACTGCCTAGAAGATGGTAATTCTGGGGCTGTCTTTTCATTTTAAACCAGACTAGGTCTTTAAGTTCTACAGAGAGAATGGTGAGGTGCTG